TACGATATTTCTTCACTGATCTGAGACATTTAAGAGACAACAAAACTCATTAAATACCTTTTTCAGGTTTTCTTATAACCTTTCAGAGTAAAAGTCTAAAAAACTGTTTCCACCTAGTCCACTTCTGTACATTGGCATGGGTTAAAGCATCTAACCACGTCAAATAAAAGCAGGATGCTCTTCACAGCAGCACCGATTTGTTATTATTGTTGTTTCATTTATTCAGATACAGATTTAAATCATCTAACGTTACTAAGAGTCACCTTCTCGTTGTCCTCCGGGTCGGCGCCGTGACCCCCACCGTACAGCAGGGCGTACTGCTGCCATGTCTCAGCATCTGAGCTGTGGCGTGATGTCACCCGACCAAAAAGCTCCTTCAGTTTGGACGCCAAGGCTCCTGCCTGAGAACCCTGGCTGTCAGTCAAGTTCTCCACAACGGCCCGGACCAGGATCTGGAGAACCTGGAACAATAGAGGAAGGCCAATTACAAACCGTCCCGTTAAACGCCCCAAACCACCTCCATCAGCTCCTCCAGCTGGACCTGAAGACATTCCCAGACCAGCCTGGGGACATAATCCCTCCGGCGTGTCCTGGTCGACCTGGGAGGCCTCTGGGGGTCAGGACATTCCTGAACCAACTCAACAGGCTCCTCTGGAGTTGGAGGAGTTCCTCACAGATGTCTGAGCTCTTCGCCCTACCTCTGAGGCTAAACCTGGCCCCCCTGACGAGGAAACATTCCTGTGTTCAGGATCTTTTACTTAGTGTCAAAACTCAACCTCATGGAACAAAGACAGGCCGAGACCTTCTTCTGCCCGACCCTCTTCACCACAACACCTCCTCCCTGCAGGCCCCGCCCTGCCTCACAGGTGTGTGGGTTAAGACCTGAATCAACCCTCGAATGCAGATACAGAGATGTGACAGGCCACCAGAGCAGCTGAACCACCTCCCCTCTCTCCTCGTACGACCTTCCTCCAGAGTCTAATGGACCATCTGTCAGCCTCCTCACTTGGAGGTTCTTCACTGTGCTGATGATCGCAATAAATCAGCCCAACTCCACGGAGCAGACAAACCCAGCAACATCACGTCAGACTTCCTGCAGGATGCAGCTGAGGACCGCTGATGGACACGTCCTCACCGCCTGTCTACACCTCAGGACACATTTCCTAGGATCTCACAACCAAAGGAGCTGGAGATGATTCACAGCTCATCATCAGGAGGTGTGGTCCATTCCATGGCCCATTTTCTGTGGCCAGAGTAAAATGACATCCATAAGTCTGATTTTTTTACAGCATCTCCGTCCATCACGGTGATAAAAGTCTCATCATTAGAGTAAAAAGTGGATGAACGACTCACGCTGGCAGAGCCGGAATCAAACCGATCACCTTCCAGATTTCAGTTCTTATTTTCTGCTCAAAAGATGCTGATGGGGAGAGAATAAAGAGGTGATTCAGAGCGCGGGCGTAGCGCCCGTTTAACCCCATGGGGCACCAGGCGGTGCCGTTTCCAGTCTATAAGACAGGAATTCATGGTGGTCCGTGCCGGCGTCGCCGCCTCAGCTCGGCTTAAAGAAATGAAAGAAAAACACGGGCAGGAGAAACGTGACTGATCATATGATGCAGGCCTAGAGTGGCTGGTTCTGGTTCTGCTGCAGAACTCCAGTCAGAGAAGGAGCTGCACAAACATTATTATGGGATGTTGAGGCTTCGGACAGGACCGGAGACGAGACTCAAACGTAGGCTCATAAATTGTGACTCAATCTGACTCGGTTTAAACATCAGACATCATCTACCCAGCTGATGCTTCCTGTTTTTGGAGACTCCGCCCACTTTGAATGACATCACCTGCATGTGTGATCCTTACTGTAGATGAAAAAAACATCCAAATGACAGAAATATCCTTGAATAAGCGACTTGATTTATTTTCTGGAGGGTTTTTCCATCTCACTCCTCTCATCAGACTGATCACAGATTAGCAGATTAACCAGATTAAAAACCAAGGATGAAAAATGCTTTTAAGTGTTTTTGTCGTCGGTCAGAACCAGCCGAGTTGGAGCTGAACTGGGTTCTCCGGTAAAAGAGAATTATTTCTGAGGAGAAACGGAGAATGGATTATCCCGACTGCACAAGCTCCGGCTGGTTCTCCTGGTTTAGGAGAACCATGCAGATGATCCTCCACTCACTCACAGCTGGTTCCTGTTCTGCTGCTGCGACCAGGAGGGAGTTTGTTCCCTCTGATGTTTTTAATGACTTTAGTTAATTTGATCACAATCAAAACGAGTCGGAAGAAACAGGAAGTCTGACCTGATCAGGACATAAATCACACTTTGACTCAAAACTTAGAGAAACGATGGAGAACATCATGAACTACTGACTTTTCCGGGCGGTCGTGAAGGCAACAGAAACGGAGAAGCTGGTCGCTGCTTTACCTGGATGTCTTTGTAGTTTTCCCTCAGGTCCATAAGGCGGTGGTACGCCCGGATTGCTTCTGAGAAGTCCCCGATGTCAGTGCTGACAACAAGGAAGTTCTCCCAGATCTGCCAGTGCTCGTAGTTACACTTCAGGGCCTCCTGCAGCGTGTGGAAGGCTTTGGTTCTGTCAGAGGAAACCAGGCAGATTCACTGAAACAGGACGCCAGAAGACTTAACATTTTGGTCCTGATCCAGATCACATGACCACAGTTCAGAGTCGAATGAAACCAGACCTTTTGTTCTGCTCAGCTTCTTCTTTACCACTGCAGTCCAGAGAGACACTCTTATCACTGACAAAGACCTGACCTGTTGGGCCACCTCTCCATCATTCCATCACCAAAGAACAAGACCTAGAGGGGGTAATGACCCACCAGAACCCTCTTGTCCATGACCCTGTCCTGCCCAGAAACGCCCGATGGGAACGAGCTCATCTTATTGCTGAGATACGGACTCTCAGTTCTTCAGGGGCCAGAGACGTCCCTCTCCGGTGGACTGGAGAACCCATGAAGGTCTGGTCCACTGTTCCATCTTTTATGCATTCATCATGTTAGACAGCAGCAACACACTACACTCAGACTAGCCGTTAGCACATCACTCCTGAGGGGTGTAAACTATTTCTGTCAACAGAGGCTGTTCAGAAAGCTAACCAGGGTAAGAAGGGAACCATTTCTGTTTTTACACAAACTTTATTCTCTAGAAATCCTGCAGGTGTTCAAACATCTAAAAACCAACAGAAAATGGGCAGAATCTGGTTTAAACCGGATCTCCAATGATCAGCTCAGGGATGAAGCACCTTGCAGGTCTCTGCTGGATTTGTTCCGGTTCCTTAATGACGTTCCGAACTAGCGGAGTGGCTTTAGGTTTTATTCTGTCATTCCCAGGTTTTCCGGTTTCCTCTACCGTTCCACAGACACACTGCAGCAGGTCACATGCTAGTGGCCTGTTGGGAATTGCCCCCAGGCTGAGCCTGCCTCATTAGCAGCTGGGTTTACTCCAACACGTTAAAAGATTTGTCCAATAACAAACACACACACACACACACACACACACACACACACACACACACACACACACACACACACACACTTACTTCATTTTGAGGCGAATGTAAGCCGTCGACAGGTTGTTCCACGCCTCTGCATTCTGAAGGACAGGAGGAGGACCAGGATGGGCCAGAAAAGTTCAAGGAAATGAGTTTGGCACATTAAAGAGCAAGTCACCCCCAAATCAACTTTATTTTTCTGATAAACTATACAAATGTGTGTCTAATCGTGCTGCAGACACGTGTAGTCAATAGTTTTGCACTTAAGTGCATTTTAGTTAAAATTTAAATCTTCTGCCTAAAACTGTCAGTGTTGTGCCGTTGTCAGGTAAAAACTCTGCACTGCATTTGAATTTAAATCTGCCATCGCTATTGGCTAAGAGGTATCCTAGAACGTTAGCTGGTACCGTATGATGTCACAATGTCGTTGTGAGCCTGTGTGTGTATTTGTTAGCAGCTCCGCCGTCTCGGTCTGCTAGGCAACAGCATTTGTTGCATTTTTCAAACAGGAAGTGGGAGTGGAGTAAGAATCTGGTAGGGGGTGCTGGGTTTCTCCCAGTGCTTTATAAGCCCGCCAGGCTAAGCGTCATTTCCCACCCTCCTCCCCGTCATGTCCCGCCCCGTCCCCCTCCCCGACCGTGTCCGCTGACACGAACGGCACAGCGACACTAGAGCCCTCCATCAGCTGTTACTGGTGAGAAACATCAGCGGAACGTGTGCACCCCCCCACCCCCAACGGCCGAAGCCGCTAGGCTTAACTCATTTTCTGGGGGAAACTCTGGGGTGACTTGCTCTTTAACAATAAGACAGAAGCTTTAGGTTTATAAAAGCCTAAAAACGATGATTTCAAGTGTGTGTGTGTGTGTGTGTGTGTGTGTGTGTGTGTGTGTGTGTGTGTGTTCTTACGTCTGGCTCGAGTCCCACACACCTCTGGAAAGCTCTCGCCGCTCCCTCATAGCCTTCCAGAGTGATGTAGGCACATCCGAGGGAGAACCAGACACCCAGCTGCAGACAGAGGGACAGATGAGAGTCTACCCAAACACAGATTTCCTCCAGAGCTCTAAAAGCTGCTGGCTGGATTTAAAAAAACGTTTTTACTGAAGAACAAAGACAAATTTATTCAGCTTCAGTAACACCAGAGGTGGAGAACCTCCAGTTCAGCAGTTTTCTACGTGTCTCCTGGAAACCTTCATGTTGCATGTCATCACATAACCCTGTCCCTTGGTCTGACTGGTCGTTATTGGGTTTCAGGTGGAAGACCACAGCATGTGCTGCCGCCATCGTTTAGGGAAAGGGGTTCCACCCCGGTGAAGTCTGACGGGTTCTCTAACGGACAGAACACTGGGGACGAGAAGATGGATTTCAGGGACAGCAGTAGCTTAGGAGGTAGAGCAGGTTGTCCAGTAATGGGAAGGTTGCAGGTTCGATCCCGGCCCAGAGAATTCTGCCGTTGTGCCCTTGGGCAAGACACCTGCTGGTGCTGGTCGGAGGGACCGGTGGCGCCTGTGTACGCCAGCCTCGCCTCTGTCGGTGCGCCCCAGGGCAGCTGTGGCTCCAGCGTAGCTCATCACCACCAGCGTGTGAATGACTGATTGTATCGTTAAGCGTCTTGGGGGGGCTGTAGAACCCTAAGAAGGCGCTATATACATACAGACCTTCATTCCAGCTTCAGCACAATGTACAGTAACATTTACAAACGTGACAGGAAATGACATCACACCATCAAACCAATAAAAGCTGAGGTGAGGGTTCCAGAGACTAGTTAGAACAGCTTTCAGTCTATTTAGAAAAAGGATGCATTTGGGTCTCCTCCGGCTGCGTATGGCGGACTGTTCCGTAGACTGACATCTGTAATGGGGGGTCGTCATGCGGAGACAGCCTGAAAGACGAGCGTTGATCCCGCCCCACGACGGAGCCGTCTACGGTCAGGGCCACACGTGTAGGCTGGTCTGCCAGCGACTAGTTTGTAGCTTTAAGGTCCAAAAACACTTGATCAGACGGAGGTTTGGACTCTGAACCGTTGAGTTTCAGTCAAATTAACAAAGGTGTGAAAAGTTCTGAAACTAGATTTCTAACCATCATCTGAATGGTTTCTGGTATCACTTCCTGTGTGCAGGAGGGTTCGTACCTGCATGGGGTTGATTTTCAGCGACCGCTCAAAGCAGTCGACGCACTGCTGGAACTCCTTGTTTCTGAGGTGCAGCAGAGCTTTGGAGCGCATGGCTCTGGCGCTGCGCCGGTCTGACAGTTCCCACGCCCGCTCATAATACTGGTGGTCATTCAGGATGTCTCCCAGTAAGCAGAAAAGACTCGGAGTCTCCTTCTTCTCCAGCTCTCTGCGCACAATCTCCTCGGCCTGAGAGCAGAGAGGAACCAGCTGATGTTAAACGGAACAGAACTCATCACAACACTGCGAGGAAGCTGAACATTTCTCCAATTTAAATCTCACTTAAACAAAAGTTTCTGTGATCTGATTGGCTGGTCTGCTGGAGCTGTCCAATCGGAGCAGTCAAAGGTTTTATTATGGAGAGCATCAGTAGCTTTTGTTACAGGAAACGTCCCAGTATGTAACCTTACTGGTAAGGTTTTACCAAAACATGAACGTAACCACGCGCCTCGCCCGGAGCCACCGCCGCGGTGTCGTCCAGCAGGTCTAATCCTGAACCGTTCCACTGCTCTGTCTGTGTGAGTCAGAGAGGAGCAGCTTTGGACTGAGACCAAATCACTCCAAACAAATGGATTACCTTGTTGTTTTGACCTCAGCGGGAACATAACTGGGCCTGTTGGCCGGAGCAGCGCAGCACACGGTTTAAGACAGGAGGGGAAAGGAGACTTTATTATTAGCCAGAAGCAACCTGGGTAATCACGCTGGGGAGACGAAGAAGGATGTAATCGAATAAAAGAGCTGGCAGGCAGCCCACCGAGAGCTCCAGACATAAAGGAGGAGTCTGAAACAGACTGGGGATCAGATCCGCCTCTCTGGTTCTGATCCACAATAACGAGGTTTGGCAGATTGGTGGAATCTGATGGTTTTTATTTAAACAACGATAAATACAAAAACCTTAAAGATGTTTGTAGTTATCAGCAGTTTAGGTTCAGGACTCACCCTCTTTCCTTCAGGCAGAAGCTCCAACAAGGCTGCTGACCTCTGACCTTCAACTGTTCTCTGCCGTTTGTTTCCTACGGTCTGATTTCAGTCTTAGGAGTTTATTATTGACCTTAGGTGGATTATCTACTATGAGCTCGTAACTCTGCCACACCTGTAATCATTAAATGACAGACTCAATCTCAGTTCTAAGATCCAAAGAGAACCCAGAACCACTCCTAGTCGTTCTGTGCACCAGTTATAGGTTTATCCCTCCAACAGAACCAGTACACTCCAGAAGAGCTAATGTATGGTCATGGGGCGACGGTGGCACAGGAGTTAAGTGCTCGCCCCGTAATCGGAAGGTTGCAGGTTTGTGTCCTTGGGCAAGACACTTAACCCACGTTGCCTGCTGGTGGTGGTCGGAGGGACTGGTGGCACCTCAGTCAGCGCGCCCCAGGGCAGCTGTGGCTACATTGTAGCTCATCCCCACCAGTGTGTGAATGTGTGTGAATGGGTGAATGACTGACTGTGTTGTAGAGCACCTTGGGGGGTTACAGGACTCTAGAAGGCGCTATATCAAATACAGACCACTTACCATTTATCGGGCCCCAGCTGATCCGAGTGGAGGAAGTCAATGGACATAAATATCAGCCTATCAGGAGGCGAGATGCTCCAGCGACGACCCAACAAACCCAACCCTGGGCAGAACGGCTGAAAACCCGCTGTCCCCAATACCACACGTGTAAACCAACAACGTCTCGACGATAGTCCAGCTGGTGGGGCATTGTCATCGAATGACTTTTCAAGATAAAACTGATGCTCATGGAAAACAAGCTGGTGGTTCCAACTGGATCCAACATTATAAGGGATGCACCGATATGTCATTTTGGGCCGATAGCTGATATTAATATTGCTGTTATGGTCGATGACCGATACCGATATAAACATACATGCTGACATGTATGTTTCTGAAATCAGCAGATTTTGTTCAAAAGGAAACAAGATGGAAAAAATATCAGTTGTTTACATCGGCCCATAAACTAAAATAAAAAATGATAAACAGCAATCAGGATGAAGAAAGTTGAGCTAAATCAGATGAAAAGTCCATGGAGTCGACAGGAGAACATCTCAGGAACCAGACAGCTGAGGGACTTCCACGGTTGTTTGGATGAGAGGTGAAACTACTCCAGGATGGATGAGAATCTACTCTAACTTCGGAAACCCTTCTGGTGACTTCTGGTGAAAAGGGACTCCTGATTCCTTAAAGATCAACAAAGGGGCTCCTCCTGATCCTCACAGACGAGTCCTGTTCGAGATCCAGCAAAACGTAGAGATCAATTACCAAAGCGTGTCTGAGAATCCTGACCTTTCACAGTCTGAGCGCTTCAGTTCAACGCACTAGAACAGAAACCTGCCGAGATCCGCCTGAGAGCAGCTCTGTGTCCCTCCGAAAGGATGAAAGTCCTCATTTTAAAGCCCGAGACCAGGAGGAGCAGAGCTCCATCGATCAGCTGATAGACAGCATCATGATGAGTGTCTCAGAGGAAAGCAGCTCTGCATCACTATCGATTATGATAAAACCTTGGTGCTCCAGTGGACCGGATAGACTCATAATGCTTCAGAAATAAAGAGTGTGAGTGTGTGTGTGTGTGTGTGTGTGTGTGTGTGTGTGTGTGTGTGTGTGTGAGTGTGAGATTCCATACATCCATAAAACAGGAGAGATATGGAGGGTTGTATGGGGTGATGCTGCTTCATCCACATCAAACAGCAGATTAACTCCTCTGTGAGTTACTCGCTCAGCGTCGGTGAGTTGGAGCTGAAAGTCAGTGAGAAATGGCCTCGTCTGGACAAGGAAGTATCGGGTAGTAAATGGTCTCTCAGTCTGAAGGCTGAGAACGCAGATAGAGTGTGTGTGTGTGTGTGTGTGTGTGTGTGTGTGTGTGTGTGTGTGTTCAGAAGTACATTTAAAATAAATCAGGCATTTTATGTCATCTGATCCTGGAAAGGTGAAACAAGCTGGACGACGTTCTCATTAGAGAATCTTTCTTAATTCAAGCTAAAAAGTACAAAGTACCAAACTTTTAAAGCTAACGGGAGCTGGTTTACACACGGGGTTTGGTTCTAGAACCCTGCTTCGGTACAGGGATGATGCAACGCTAATCTATCAGGAACAAGTCCCATGATAGTTGGTAGGTATGAACAGGTGTGTGTGCGCGTGCATGCGTGTGTGTGTGCGCATACACACACCTTCCCATGCTGACCAAGCCTCTCGTAACAGACGATTACATCCTCCCAGAGCTCCAGCTTCTCGTACAGGAGGAGAGCTGAACTGACGCAGCCGAGGTCGATGAGCAGACCGGCCAGTTGCTTCTGCAGGAGGAGGAGAACATTGATGGAACCTTCAGGAAGCTCACGGAGAATCATAATGTTCACAACCTTCTTTATCACAATGATTCACCAACCAGCATGGAGGTCGGGCAGAAAACGAGCAAAACAATCATGTTTATTCATGAACACACACACACACACACACACACACACACACACCACCTTTGTTACATCAACACCTCGGTTCTGCTGTGAGGTGAAAAAGCACAGCAACTCCTGCTGCAACCCTCCTCCACCTCAGCCCACTTCCAGTCCCCAGGCGCTGATTCCCGCTCTTCAATTCCAGCTTTATTGCCGTTATCAGTTATTACACGCTGCCTCGGTGATGTCTCCTCCCCAGCTGATCTCTCCCTTCCTGCAGTGCTCATCCTTCTTTAATCTCCTGGACAAGCTAAAGTCTTCCTATCACTTTTGTCTGTGTTTGTTCTCTTTCCTGTTGGGGGTTTAATCTTCACACATCTTTGTTCTTTAGCTCTGTAACTAAACACCATTAGAGCTGCTTCCTGCAGCCCCGTGAGGCCTTTAGATCTGTTTCCTATGATGCCTTTCTGCAGCAGCATTTGTTTGATCTACGCTAACAGCCACGCAATGACGACATGAGGATGACTCATCAGAGCTAAGAAACAGCAGCTTTTAAAGCTGAGAGTTTCTCCACAAACTAAACCCAGTGAGTAAAACCAGTACCTTACTGGTCTGCAGCTGCTGGTGACTAACAGCATTCTCAAGGCAGTTTCAAAAACGTCTCAAAACGTTTTCCTAATGGGAGTTGCAGGTCCTCGTTCTTCTGTCAGGAAATCATGCAAAAAATCTTGAACGACAATTTTTGTCTCAAACTAGTTGCAGAGTTGTTGCATTTGTCTGGAACGAGTCCTAATTTAGATTCAGGGGCCTAGAAATGTAGAAAATACGAGATTAGAGATTATTTGTACCGTGAGTCGTGTATCTACAGGCAGGATCATACCTGAAGGTGACATCACTCAAAGTGGGTGGAGTCTCCTCAGACTCATAGCTAGTCAGATTGCTAACAAATGAGCGGCTAATCAGTGGTGTTAGAAACAGCTCTTGTCCTACCGATGCCATAGACCAGGGGTGTCAAACTCAAACTCACACGGGGCCCAAATGAAACTCTGGGACGGAGTCGAGGGCCAAACTTAATATTTTTTGAAAAAGTGACGGCAAATTTGCACATTTTCTTTATCAACATATATGCAATTTTAAACTTTTAATTTGGAAACAAACGTATTTTTGCATTAACACTGAATGTGGAATAACCAAATTACACACGAGCAAGTCCGTTTTGAATAAAACGCATCAGTGGTATTCATTACTTGTGCATTCAGCATTTTTAAAATCTATTCAGGATTTATGTTTTCTTGTTGTTTGTTCATTTTTCTTATTTTTATTCTCCTTTTTTTCTCCTGTAATAAGTGTCATCGCTGCTGTGACATCTAGCTTTCCCCACTGAGGAACAATAAAGGGATTTTCTATTCTATTCATCTATCTGCAGCCTTTCCACTTCCTGTTTACTGTAGGTTAAATCTTTTCTCACGGGCCAACAACAAAATAAAAATATCATTTTATCTTAAATGAAAATGCAACATCTCACCTGTTAACTTTCATGTTTTGGAGCAGAAAAAGAGCAGAAAACCAACATATTTAAAGCTCAGTTTGCTCCACTGGTTTACTGTGATGCTCACCTGTTCCAGCCAGATACCTGCATCATGGGGCTGATCTGAGCTGAGGAGGAGACTCCTGTTGTTTTGTTCATCTTCATCATAATAATGACAACATTAGATGACAACAGGTGCTCACATAGGTTTGTGCTGATGAACATGTCTGAGCAGCTTGACCACGTTGTTGTGTGTCGTGGAGGAAACACAACGACTGCAACCACAGAGCCGTGCTGGTTTGAGCGTGTCGCTGTTCGCTGGAGTTATATCAGCTCTGTCTGGAAGTTAGTTGGAAAACTTTCTCTGTCAGTCGTGAACACATTACTGAGCGGTTAAAATCTCCGTTTCTGGGCTTCAACGTCAGAAATTAGCTGAGTGAACTCGGCGCTGAGTGAGAGGAGTGTTTAGTTTGTCCGAGACAGCGGAGCTGCAGACACCGGCAGCAGACGCTGGAAAAAACACAAAGAAGGGGGCGCTTCGGCGCCGCGCTAACGCCGCAAAGCATCATAGGAGTTGTAATCTTTGTGGTAAAATCAGCCAGCGGGCCAGTTTTAATATATTTTTTATATGTGGCCCGCGGGCCTTGTGTCTGACACATGCGCCCTAGAACATCCGGTTCTGGTCGACCAAGCTCATATCGGACCTTTGGGTTGAAGGTCTAAAGTTAAGATTTAGTTAAATTAGTTTTTAGAATTTGTAGATCATTTTGTAGAACACAGATCAGAATAATAAAGGAGAGCATTTTCCCTTCTTCCAAGTAAATAAGAGCTGTGCTGTGTCTGTACGGAGAACAGGTGTGATACCTGGACGGCCCATCTGGGCGGGACTTGGCAGCAGTAGAAGACTTTAAGGCGGTCAGTCACCGGACAGCTCTGGTCTTCAAAGTGGTCCACTATCGTCTGGAAAGGAAACCAGAATCAGAACCTGTCTTCTCTGCGATCTACATCCCTGTTGGGAGACGAGGTCTCAGAGCAGATTCAGTCTCACGACCGGGTTTCAGGATCATTAGGTACTGAAGGACTGATGGAGAACATCCAGAAGGAAGTGGCCCTAGTCAAAAGGTTAACCCTAACCCTAAACCAACCTCAGCTGACTACTGCTGAGGAGGAGGAGGAGCTCCATCGCTCCATACGGCCATCACATCAAGACACCAAGGTACTAGAACTTCTCTGCTTGTGGGAAAGATTCCCCACTCGGGAGGGTAGGTTCCTGCTCTTCCCAGATGGGAATGTGGTCTTACATTTGGAAGATGATGCTGTTCACTGGTCATGGCTTGAAGAGGCCAACAGAAACACATCATCTGCAAAGAACTTTGTTCTGCAGCCTGCAGCTCAGACATCCTTCAGATGTAACGTAATGCTTTTCTTGCCTCTCACAGGAAAGTGTATTTACTCATCTTCACCTAAAGGGGAGACGTGAAAGACCTCTGTTATGTCTGAACATCAACTCTTAGCACAGCGATTTTAGCGGCTCTGTACAAACGAGAGGCTCATTGACTCGAGTTAGACAAACCACCGAGCCCGGATTTTCTGGAACTCTTCTCTTTATTTTACGATTTAAGTGGAACCATTTTCTGAATCTAGAAATCCAAAGTAGTTGATGTAAAGAGGAAAGATTGCTGGCAGCAAGTAAAAAAGCCATAACGAAGAGATGGAACCACCAACAACAGAGGGCTGGACAAATGTTGGAGAAGGTTTCCTTCTCATTTCTATAGAATACAGTCCAAATGGACAGAAAGTGACTCAAACCAGTCAGAGTGGACGTCTTGTGAACTCTGTTAGTACGTACAGATATTACGCTTTTATTTTGTAAGGCTAAACGATCAACTCAAATAACCTGTACTTATCTTGGCTCCACCCATAACCAGGTTCGGTTGCACATATAACTGAGTAACTGTAATATTCACCATGCTTCTTCAATAAAAGACGAGTAAAATAAAAGAGGAAGGAAAGAAAAAGTCTTTGAAGCTTAAACTTCTGGACATTAACGGTGATGATCTTCACTGATCCTCTCAGAAGATTACGAGTAAAAAGAGGTCAGCTTCGCCAGAACAAGGATCCAGGAACACGTCGAACTACAAACTATTTGCTGCTATGACAGCAAACTTCTTCTTCTTCTGGCAGTGACAGCCAGAAAGTCAGAGTGGGGAAAAAAAAATCAGCTGTCAGCATCTGAAACACGTGCGTGATTATAAGATGTGGAGAGAGTTGGCTCAGTAACCCTGAAGCTGCACAAAGGACATAAAACACGTCTAAGAAGTGAATGTTTGCTGCTACCAGCTCCAGTGCTCACTCCGCACCGAGCCTCTGGCTCTGAAGGTTTGAGGAGAAACAGCAACAGGGCTGGTTTTTATTCCTTCAGCAGCTTTTCCTCATCTCGAGCTGCTGTCTGACTCGGCTATTTTAGGGATGTTATTGATCAACATCAGAAATAACATTTAGAGCTGTGGGGGATTAATGGTTGTTTGTGTGCCGTGTTGCTCTGAAAGAAAGAACAAGGTTACTCTATTACTCACTGGTGCTGGGAGGAGCTCTACAGCTCCATAGCTTCTCCAGTTCTGTGTGAGGAAGGTCCAGACATCAACCTTCATTCCATCATCTGATCTACATCCATCAGCAACAAAAACCAGAACAGAGGGACACAGCGGCCTTCTCCAATAAACGCTTTCCTATCCCTTATCTTCTAAGGGTTAGGGTCAAAGGTCAGGAGTGAAATCTCTCTCCTGTGATACCAGTTAGCCGGAGTCTGAGCTCATGGCTCAGCTACGATCTGCAGAGGCAGCCATCTTGACTTGGACTGACTCCAGACACCTGATAAGGGCGTTTTTCTCAGACTTCTAACACATTTGCCAAAATCAAATTTGAGCACTTTCCAGGTGTGTTTTCAAGCTTTTCCAGCCCCTCACAGGGGAGCCGGTTCACACACACCTGTAACGGCTCAAACCAGGCAAGAAGGTTCAGTCTGCTGATTGGTCAGGTGTTCTGGGGCCAGGGCTACAAGGAGCAGTGTGTTCTGATCCTGACACGTTCTAATCTTTAGTTACTCACCTGGGTTTGCATCATGGCCCTCTCAACACACCGAGACCTTCCCTTCTCCAGTTTGGTCCGGAGACACAGAGCTGTGACCTCCACGGCCCAGAACTTCGGCTGGGACAGAAGACACTAACCAACACAAAGACACAAGAATTAAAAATGTTAGAAAACGACTGACTAGATCCCCGAGCCACCTCAACTGGCTCCTCTCAATATGGAGGAGCAGCAGTTCTACTCCGAGCCCCTCCCGGATGTCTGAGCTTCTCACCCTATCTCTAAGGGAGAGCCCGGACACTCTTCGGAGAAAACCCATTTCTGCCGCTTGCATCTGCAATCTTGTTCTTTCAGTCACTACCCAAAGCTCGTGACCATAGGTGAGGGTAGGAACGTAGATCGACCGGTAAATCAAGAGCTTCGCCTTCTGACTCAGCTCTCTTCACCACGACAGACCGGTACAACGCCCGCATCACTGCAGATGCAGCACCCATCTGCCCATCGATCTCACGCTCCAGTTTTCCCTCACTTGTGAACAAGACCCCGGGATACTTAAACTCCTCCACCTGAGGCAGGACCTCATCGCTGACCTGGAGAAGTATTGGGTAGAATGACCCTTTTCTGAATCAAGACCATGGTCTCGGGCTAAACACTCAAACCACCACGAGATAAATAAACAGGTTAGAAAATAGAAACAGGTAAAGAATTATTAGTAGAACATATTTCACCGCTGTTGTGTCCTTGGGCAAGAAACTTAACCCGCCTTGCCTCCTGGTGGTCGGAGGGACCGGTGGTGCCAGTGCTCGGCAACCTCGCCTCTGTCGGAGCGCCCCAGGCCAGCTGTAGCTACATGGTAGCTCATCACCACCAGCGTGTGAATGTGTGAAAGGCCATTTACCATTTTATCATGTGCAAACATTCCCACGTGTGGACTTCGGTGAACATTCATATGGAGGGTCTTCAACAGTCTGATGGTGATGGGGTAGAAACGGTCCCAGAACCAGAGTGTCCTGCTCAGCAGGCTTTGGCCTGGATGGGTTCTGCCCTCCATCATCCTCAGTACTTCATATAGAAAGTTAAAAGTTGGGAATAGACTTGACCTTTGACCTCATAGCACCAGTAGTAAAACGTCCGTAGATGTCCTAACCTCGGGACACCGCCAAACTCTGGTCCATAGGATCACTGACCTGGAACCAGATCCTCCAGGTGATTCTCTGTCGTTAAAATGGAAAACCGAACTCTGAAGTCAACACGGAGGTTTGCTGCTCTCAGCTGAGAGAAACCGACTAGAAAGCTTCATTGAGATCACCTAATTATTAACAGCTATTAGAGCCGGGGGGTCTTTATGTGTGAGCCGCGGTGATGATCTGGTGTTCCAGCAGCAGATCAGCTGATTAAAGGATTATCGGGAACGGGGCTTTGGAACATCCAGCACACAAGAACATTACCGACACCGTTAGTCTGACACCAGGTTCTGGCCTGAGAATGGATTAACACACACACACACACACACACACACACACACACAGAGACACACACCGCTGATGATAATGTTAACGCACCATGAAAGTGATCCATGGATGGAGGCGAAGAGAACAAAGCTCTGATTATGTTTGTGGCTGCTCGGTGAGTCCCGTCGGACTCGTTAGTGTTCCAGTAAATTGTCCTGATTATGCCGTTATTCCAGAAGCAACATGAGTCATCGAACCATTAAAATCAAATGATAAAACATGATAAACATTAGTCACGCTGCCGTTAACACAAACGAGCTCCACAGACGCCCACATGAGAATATTCACCGTTATTTAATGAGTTCGACACGAACATCAGAGCACTTATTAGACAGGAATCAGCCTTTATCATCCAGTTTACTTCATAAAACTCAGACATCCGTTATATTAGACAAGTCATGATCTGTGGATGAAGAAAGACTTTTTGCACATGAGGATTCCCCTCAGGGTGGGGGGGTGCTTTTAATCACATTCAGATTTTCCGGTACGGGACAGAGATGTACCGAGATGCACCGAGGTCCCACATCCTTCGAAGGACCCGGCCTATTAAGTACACGTGGGCTGATGCCAGTCCAGACACCGAGTGCTTGTTAACTGGGAAGTTCTCACCCTTACCTGGGCATATGTCCTGTCGCCCAGGTAAGGGTGAGAACTAAGTGAAAACTAAACTCAGCAGCAAAAAGGGACCCACCATACGAGCTACCTCTGTCCTCGGTCAGACCGGAGACATTCCAGATCTCTCCTGCAGCAGACAACGTGGACAAATTAATTTTTCTATAAAAACACGAAGCCTGGACGAACCTGAAGAAGGCTGATCTGCTGACGTTCCCAACAACTGCAGGATCTAGATAGTCTAATTTCCTGGTAAGTGGACACCTCTCCTCTGATTGGCTAACAGCAACATGACTCTACCAATGACTGTTTGCTCTGCAACGTTGATGTTTCATCTCCACAAACGTAGTTGCTAATGCTAACGGTTAGCTTCTACTAGCAGAGACGTTCTCTGCTGTTTCCTGGACTCAACCAACAACAACTTCCCCGTCGTGAGTCCAGATGGGTGAGTCCATGAACGTTAGTGACAGTGTGACGTAGATCTGTCAGGATTTTCTATCCTAGAGTTTCACCGTCTGTTTTCTATCAGAAGCTAATGCAGGAGATGGGTGTAGGAGACTATTTTCATGTTCAGCCTGCATGAGAAGCTCAGAGTGGCCTGTTAGAATCAGAAATAATCATTTAAATTTGGTTTTACCATGTTCCACACTTTTAAATTAAAGTTTTTCTTGAACCATCTGGACTAGAGGCATGGATGAGGGCTCTCTGAAGAGAACCCCCTGAATGTGAATAAGCTCTATTGTTAAAGAGTAAAAAGACCCTGAATACACCAAAAAAAACAAACCTTTTTGATCGAGATGACTGTTCTGGTGACGATGCGAGGTGCTGAATGGTGAGTTTGACATTATTTCACATTTCTGAGAGATGTGTTTACATTTTTTGGATGTACACCTGATCTAACCTTCTTCCAAGATCTTCTTCTTCCATCCATCTTGCGGTTCCTTCTGCCCGTCTCGCTACCATGGGGAGCAGAGCTTTCAGCCGCTCTGCTCCTCGACTCGGGAACTCACTTCCCCCAGACATCAGAAACATCGACAGTTTTACCCTTTTCAAATCAAAACTCAAAACACACATGTTTAAATCTGCCTACAACCTCTGATTTTATTGAACTGTTTCTCTCTTTGTTTTTTCTTGTTTGGGTTTTATTATTGTTTTATTGTATTTTATCACGTGTTTTCTGTCAAGTGACCTTGGGTGTCCTGAAAGGCGCTTTTAAATAAAATGTATTATTATTATTATTATTATTATTATTAACCTGATGTTATATCAGCAGAAGATGAATATGTCAGCTTCAGGGTTGAGTTTTCATGTAATCATGACTTATTTCTGACGCTTCAGGATAGACTACAGACTCAATCAAGACAGAGTTGATGAAGATGGCCAGATATGTGACAACCATCTAACCAGCCTGCAGATTCCTGGATCTACATGTAGGCTGGGAAGATGCCTGCTCACAGAGCCAGCAGCTTTAGTTCAAAACAAGCACAAGACTATCTTTAGGAATAGTTTATTAAACGTTTCCTAAGGGTCAAACCCCTGTTATGGATCTTGTTTCCTTCTTCATTAAAGTTTGTTACAGTATCTACGATGGTAAGTCGTCAAGACTTCAAAGGTATGTAGCGTTGTTTAAGTTCAGTGTTGGGCAAGTTACTTCAAAACTGTAATACATTATTTATTACTTGTTACCCTCATTTTAAAGTAATTCATTACATTACAATATTACTGATTTTAAAATGTAAGGCATTACACTACTTTTGCATTACTCTAAGTTACTTTCAACAAAACAACTTCAGTATGAGTTTGGTAATCTGATGCCTGGTGAACTCATGACACATCCGGTGGAAGGTGATGTGGTGTCTGAGCTAGGACTGCTGTTAAAAACAGATCTTTAGAAGGATTGTTTATGAAATAAATGAAACAACAATCTGTACTCTCAGCACGCTGCCATCTTAGATTAACTGAGCGGCGAGTGAGGTGGTGGGGGCTCCAAGTCTATTTAGCCTTGGTCCCCAAATGCCTTGATACGGCCCTGGATGTGGGACTGACTTCTGGGGTGATCTGATTCTATCACATGTATAAATAATGAATGCTTATATATTATTGCTTTTCACTGGTAAAAATGTGTACTGGGGATAAATCTACCTACTTTTTGTCTTTTCAAGCACTTTGTTTTGTTTTCTTGGTTTTATGTGAATTATTTCCTGCCCTTTCTCTCTCTAACCGTCCTGCATGCAGCATGTTTTCTCCGTCTTCCAGAAAAAACTGTTTCCTAGATTTCCTACTTTCTAACGATCAGCCAAAGGGATCTTCACATGCGCGGCGCTCCAGCAGTAATGAGTTTAAATCACCGGGGCCCAGACTAACTCAGATGAGGCAAAGCACGTCAGAAAAGTACAGAATACCAGAGAACATGCGCTGATATGAACGATCGCAGGTGAATTATTTTGTTTTAGTGGAGCGATTTTGTGAATGTTACAGCGGCCGCGTGGAGGACGCAGCTGGAGTATTTGAGCCGTTACCGCGGCGTCCTCTCTGCCTGCAAAGCTGAGTCCATAAATGACGTAGTACATGCAGATACTGGATCTTTCTTCGGGTTTCCCGCAATTTGAATTTTTAAGGAACGCATCTTGATTCTGGGTTTAAAATGCATTGTAATTACTGCATTACTGACAATTGTACAGAGTAAATATTACCATTTTTTCCCTGTAATGCCTTACATTACCACATTACAACAAAAAGCAATGCATTACAGTAATTAATTACTTCTGTACCGCATTACTCCCAACACTGTTTAAGTCACTGACGTATTAAAATAAAGAAACTGATACTTTTAAAGAACTAAACCATCATGCAGCAGCCAGGTAAAGAGTTAAATGTACAGGACTGAGCGTACAGCCCTGGGAACCTCGCATGTGCTCGTCTGACAGGGAAGTGTCTAACGGGGGCAACTTAACCATTTCCTTTTTAGTGTTTAGGAAGAAAAAAAGTTTCAAGGCTTTGAAACAGAAAAGGTGTAAAATATCTTCATGATTCCACCCAAACCTGGAAAACACCAAACAAATCCCACTTTGAATGACTGCACGCACGAATACAGCTAAATCTCATTAAGATCTCGACACTTTTATTTCTACAGTTTATTTACAGTGCAGGTAACTTTTTAGTGAATTTTGAATTCATGTGAGATTAAATAAGTAAAGAGTCCGTCACACACCACCGTCATGAGCAGCGTTTGGTGGGGGAAACTGAGATTAATGAACAAACTTCTGCCTCAGTGAACACAAATAAAACGGCAGAGCCACAAATAACACCTCCCACCACAATAACACTTGTATTTCTCAGGCTGCTGGACTCTTTTATTCCCTTTAACCTTCACATTACAGCGGTGAAATCAACTGAAACGTATTTTTGAATCAATCTGCCCACTCATGGCGGACCCATAAAGCAGGTTACGCCTTTCACTGCGAGTCAGAGTCTTTTATATCAACAGCAACAAAATAAGAGTCAGAAAGCTAGGAGCATGAAGCCTGCTGAACAGGATAAAACAAAACGCTGGTGTTTAAAGTGTCTCCACATGCTGTTAACGCACCACATCTCGTAGCAAACTCCGGAGCCTCAGAGCCGGTTAAAGGGGCTCAACATTAGAGAATCAATATCTAATCAGAGAAAGGCAAGCTGCACAAATGGGAAGCAGTCCAGCGCCCTGCTGCCTGACCAGAAACACTACCGGGACACCAGCACGAAGAAAACTGCTTCAGACACATGAATAACAATTTAACCTGGATAAGAGTCGGACCCGCTATCAGGACCGCTCCTTCCTGCAGGACGGAGGCTACACGGAACGTTCCACCATCAGTTCCACCTTCCATCATGGTGTCTGAAGAGAACAAGATCCAGACCCAAAACGGAACCTTGTTCAGTCGACTCGCCTCGTCCGCAGAAGAAACAAAAGTGTGCGTTCATCCAAGAATGATCATCGGTTCAGACCACACCACGAACTGCTGGAATGTTCATCCGACTCCCGTCGGAACCGGCCGGACCCCGCCATGTTCCCGTAAAACGTTCACCATAAGCAGACGAGTTTATTTCATGTTCAAGCTTTTATTTGCGACTCTAAATAAAATCTCAGGAACTCATCGCCCGGTCCAATAAGCATTTGAAGCTGTACCCATGATGCATTGCAACCAGAGCCGACAGAGTTAATGTTTGTTTGTTTCACACATTTTCTTTGTGATTTGGACTCAGAACAAAATTTTCTAAAGATCCGTGAGCATTTTCATGAAGTACTGCTGCTTTGTTCTTTTTTCTGTATTTTTGCCATCTAGAGGTTCCCATTACATGCCTGTCGTCTTTCAGATCTTCAAACAGAATTCTGGATTTTGTCCAGCAGAATCGTACAAAATATCACAATTAAATTAAATCAGTTGTTAAACAAAACCGTATTTAATATTAAGATTATTCACAAACTTATGAACAAACCAAACTTTTTTCGACTTCATCGCTGAAACGCTGTCGGTGTCTAAATTTTAGAAATTTGAAAGATGCTTTAAAAATTCAAAGTTCAAAAAAACCTTTCAAACACCTGAAGTTTTATTTTCTGATGTTAGGGAATCTTTGATCTTTCTCTGATGTTACTGAGTGGAGAACCTCTCACACCAGTGGTGTTCTGCTGCTGAACATGTGAGTGTGTGATGAGTGAGGACCAAAGGAGGCGCAGGGGTTCGGTGAGATGGTCCGATGGCTGGTGTTGGTCTGAAACGTGTTGTTGGTGGAGCTTTTTAGGCAAACGTGAGCACAGTCTATTTGTAGCTGTACGATGTTAGAACGTTGTTGAGAAGCATGAAAAAATGTTTTAGGGAGGTTTGTCTTCTAAAATTGCCATTGCAGCTTTAAAGAACCGAACCAACAACAAGCAGGTAAATGGTAAAAACACACAGGACTGAGAGCACAACCATGAGGAACCTCATGTGTGAACAGAATATTCACAAAGTAACAAGAAACATTTCTACTGTTTCAGGGAATTTTATTTTTTTTGTTCTTTAATTTTCCCAACTACAGACTGTATCTAGGTTTCTTTCATAATAAAAACTATTAACTCTATAAAATATTGTTCAATTAAAGTTCTGGACTGAAATGGACTCCTGGTACTTCCCATTACATGCCTGAAACTTTAAATCATATTTCACACAAACAGCTGATTATTACCAACAACCCGGAAGTAATGAAGAAACTCGTAACTTATTGGAGTTCATCTCTCAGAAGCCTCTGATTCAGACATGATGGGAGCTGAATGAGCCGTTTCTCTGACTGATGAGTTTCACTGAGCTGAGCAGAATATCCTTGAGGCTCCATAACGCAAACTACGTTTTAATGTAAACATGAGACTTACCGACGCGAAGGCCAGAAGCTCCTCTTCGGTGAGTTTGTGAACCGGGTTGTTCTTCTGGAAATCGGTGCTGAAAGACAGAATCTGGATCAGAACCAACTTTAAAACCAACAGGAAACATGAGAACTGGGATAATCTGTCGACATAATAGCTCCATAATTATATTAGATAATTATTATATGTAACAGTAATAACAGAATAAAACAGAATCTTGCCACCTGTAGCCCCTCCACCAGGGGGCACTAGACATGTAGGGCAGGTTTCTGATGAAGGCACTAATCCTGATGCTCCATCTGAGGCTTTAAGGTCAGAAGTGTTAAATTGTTGTTCAAGACTCTTAACTACAGATTTTAATAACGCATAAAATCTTACATAATCCTCTCATTTGTATTGTTTTGTACCAATATTTCATTTTTACTTCATATTTGCTTTAATTTAAACTGATGGCCGAAAAACCCTTTCATCATTCATGTTTCAAACGTGCACCTCAGAGCCTCCGGGTCAGGTCCTCAGAGTTACCAGAACCAAGTAGAACTCAGATCCCCCAACCAGGAACTCGTGACCGGTTTAAACCAATGAATGTTTTCTGTTTACAACAAGATGAATCCAGCCCATCTTCTCTGTTTAGAGACCAGATCTCCTCTGACTCCAAGTCTGACAGAAACCTCATCAGTGAACTGATCTTCAGCTCCGTTTAATCTGAGCTGGGTGTCTGCATCAAGAAGGTGATGATGAGTCGAGTGACGGACTTGTGGCTCCAGAGGTAAAAGATGAGGACGGATAGAAAAACGACGTGAATCTGATGCGTCTGCTCATTGGAGGACTGCGAGGTCTGACGTTACCCAGGAGATGCTCCACTGATCTCCCTTTAATTTAAACAGACCTGCTGCTCATCAATCATCTCCCAGCCCTCACACCGACCACTCCACTGCCCTTCACCCGACCCGCCGGGTCCCAGCAGAACCACAGGGATCCATCACCAGCAGAGCTGTTATATTAAAGTCTGGGTCTCAAGAACAGCTTTAACCCTGAGTCCAAACATCAGGGACGCTACTTCCTGTTTGGTTTTACTAACACTAATCAGCTCTGGAGGAATCCTAAAGCTCAACCTTTCATCCCAAATGTTTAAAATAAAAATCTGTTGAAAATGATAGTTATAGCTGTTGTGTTCAAATGCTGAAAAACAACAAATATAAATGATAAATGGACCAACAGTCATTCACACCCTGGTGGTGATGAGCTACTGTCTAGCCACAGCTGCCCTGGGGCGCACTGATGGAGCGCCATCAGTCCCTCTGCTCCGACCACCACCAGCAGGTAAGCTGGGTTGAGCGTCTAGCCCAAGTACACAACAGCAACATTCTCTGCTGGGAGCTGGGATCGAACCAGCAACCTTCCAATTACTGGACAACCCGCTCTACCTCCTGAGCTGCTGCTGGTTTTCTAAAATATCACAAAGATCGGATTCTCAGCAGCTAACGTTACATGTTAGCTTCATCAGCTGTGGTGGCCATCTTTAAAATGGACGACTCCAAAAGTTAACCGGCTGTAGACAAACACCCCTCTGAGGAAAACAACAACCTACATTACCCAGAATGCACCTGTGGTCAGATCAGCTGGTTTTCTCACAGAAAAGCTCAGTAACGAGATTTAGAAGGAAACGTTTGTGAGGAGTTCTCTTGAGACCAACTCATCTCCAGCAGAACTTATGAAGCTTCTGATGAGATTAGCATTCTGCTGACTTCTGCTTCTGAAATCTAACGAATAAAAACAAGAACAAGCAGGACTGTAAAAACAGCATAACCAGAGATTTGTCTGATGATTAACTGTTTGCGATGACCGATTCCTGTCACCATTTTTAAAGTTTCCAGCAACGTCGAAGCAACACCAGTCCGATGAAATGGTGAATATGGAATAAATCCAGCCTGAGGCAGACCGGGCTGCGTGGCTCCTCAACTCCTTATTAATGTGCGGGAGACTGGGAAGAGACTGGAAGTGATTTCTGTCATCAGGTGCTGACGGGAATCTCTACTGGAGCGTCACCGCAAAAGGTCAGGTGGCCGGGAGGGGGAGGGGCTCTTACCAGATTCCCAGGATGAGGGCCTGCTCCTCAGCACTGAGCTCAGGCAGCTGGAACTGATCCGGCTCGGCAAAGCTGATGGCATCCATCACCGTATCGTCCCCCAGCAGGTTGTCCTGGAATCAAACCAACACATCAGGAGCCAAAACATAAAAACTACTAAGAAGTTCAGATGTAGGTACGCGCGAGTTCAAAGTTAAAAACACTGAAAGGTTTAGTTTTGCTTTATTCAAACAAAACTGGCTGCATGCTCTGTTCTCCCACTCTTTGATGCTGCAGTGAAGGCTTCATTACTTTGTTCGCTGCTGCTACTATACTACTACTACTACTACTACTACTACTGCTACTATACTACTACTACTACAACTATACTACTACAACTACTACTATACTACTACGACTACTGCTACTTTACTACTACTACCACTACTATTATACTACTACTACGACTACTACTGCTGCTACTACTACTATACTACTATACTACTACTACGACTACTACTGCTACTATACTACTACTACTGCTACTATGCTACTACTAGTACTACTACTACTACTGCTACGACACTACTACTATGACTACTACTACTGCTGCTACTGCTACTATACTACTACGACGACGACGACTACTACTGCTACTGCTGCTATACTACTACTGTTATGTCTTCTAAATATGTTTTTGTATGTAATTTCAATAGTTCAGTTTGAATTGTTTACTTCGTAACCATAGCAATAACGTTTTAGTGTAAGATCGCTAAACCGGAAGTAACTATTTTGTTAACGTATTTAAGCTTTCCCAGTAGTTAGCTTCTCAAATGTCGCTTTTCTTTCTACCTCTGTGCTCAAGCAACGTCTGAAAGTACCTTTCAGCATATAACATTGAGTTGATACTTATTCTGGCTTACCGGTTCTCATCAGTTCTGAAGGAATTCGATTGGGTTGTGATATGCTAAGCTAACTTCATTTTTTCAGATGATGTGACTTATTTCTACATATGTGTCTTTCTGTATTGCTTGTTACAGTTTTACAAGATTCCCACTAAACTTTATGGAATCAACTTACTGTCCCCTGGAGATTTTGGGAGTGTTTAAGCTTAATGGATTTGAGTCCATGACAACAACTACTACTACTACTACTACTACTACTACTGCTACTACTGCTTCTACTGCTACTACTTTACTACTACCACTACTACTGCTACTACTAGCACCACCACTACCACTACTATACTACAACAACTACTATATGATTAATACTACCACCACCACTACTACCACCACCACCACTACCACTGCTACTACTACTACCACACTACTACTGCTACTACTACCACTACTACTACTACTAAAACTATACTACTACTACGACGACTACTATACTACTACTACTACTATACTACTACCAAGACTACTATACTACCACTATTACTACTATACTACTACTACGGCAATACTACTACTACTGCTACAATTACTATACTACTATGACAATACTACTACTGCTACAATTACTATACTACTACTACAATACTACTAGTACTGCTACAATAACTATACTACTACTACTACTACTATACTACTATTACTATCCTATTACCACTATACTACTTCTACTACTACACTACTACTGCTGCTGCTACTACTACTACTATACTACTACTACTACTATACTACTACTGCTGCTATTACTACTATACTACTACTGCTGCTATTACTACTATTACTATACTACTACTGCTGCTACTACTACTATACTACTGCTGCTACTACTACTATACTACTGCTACTACTACTATACTACTGCTGCTACTACTACTATACTACTGCTACTACTACTATACTACTGCTGCTGCTACTACTACTACTATACTACTGCTGCTACTACTACTATACTACTGCTACTACTACTATACTACTGCTGCTGCTACTATACTACTGCTGCTGCTACTACTACTACTATACTACTGCTGCTACTACTACTATACTACTGCTGCTACTACTACTATACTACTGCTACTACTACTATACTACTGCTGCTGCTACTACTACTACTATACTACTGCTGCTACTACTACTATACTACTGCTACTACTATACTACTACTGCTGCTACTACTACTACTACTATACTACTGCTACTACTACTATACTACTGCTGCTACTACTACTATACTACTGCTACTACTACTATACTAATACTGCTGCTACTACTATACTGCTACTACTACTGCTGCTACTACTACGATACTACTACTACTGCTGCTGCTACTACAATACTACTACTACTGCTGCTACTACTACTATACTACTGCTGCTGCTACTACTACTACTATACTACTGCTGCTACTACTACTATACTACTGCTACTACTACTATACTACTGCTGCTACTACTACTATACTACTACTACTACTGCTGCTGCTACTACTATACTACTACTACAACTACTATACTACTACTACTATATTACTACTACTATACTACTACGATTACTGCTATACTACTACTACCGCTATACTACTACTACTACCACTACTACTATTACTATATTACTACTACTACTACTATACTACTACTATACTAAAACTACTACTAGTACAACTACTACTACTATACTACTACTACTATACTACTATACTACTACTACTACTACTATTATACTACTACTACTACCCTACTATTATACTACTACAACTATACCACTACTACTATTACTATGCTACTACTACTATACTACTACAACTACTATACTACTACTGCTACTACTACTACTATACTACTATTATACTACCACTACAACTACTACCCTACTATTATACTACTACTACAATTATACTACTACTACCACTACTATATTACTACTACTATACTACTACACCTGCTATACTACTACCACCACTGCTACTATTACTATATTACTACTACAACTATACTAATACTATACTAAAACTACTATACTACAAATACTGCTACTACTACAACTACTGCTACTATACTACTACTACTGCTACTACTACTATACTATTACTGCTACTATACTGCTACTATACTACTACTACTACTATACTACTACTGCTACTATACTACTGCTACTACTACTATAGTACTACTACTAGCTGTATGTTGAAAAACACCAGGAAGTTCTCTGCTGTTGGGATCGATTGAAGCGGCAGCAGATTTCTCGTCTTTGCTTTAAAAACCTAAAACACGAGTTCTGCAGTAACTTCTGATCCGGTCCATCTGCACAGGACGCATCGTTCTGTTGTCTTCGCCACATTTCTGCACGCTTCCTGCTCAGATGGAGACTTGTTTTTTTCATCAGAGGATGAAGCGCTGGATCCGCGGCTTTGGGAGGAAAATACTAAAAATTCTCTGGTTTGGACTGCTGACCCGTGCGGTTCAGAACTAGGTCCAGAACCAGTCTTAAACCGGGAACACGAAAACTCTTTAAAACATCTCACATGTATTTTAAGATATGAGGACATCATGCAGGCAGCCAAATCTGAAACTGGATTTTGTGCAACCAGAACCGACTGTGGCCCAGACCCAAATGGTTCCTGAACACGCTCTTACTTTGGGTAGGCTGCTCCGTGGAGTGGGGGTGGGGCTGGCCTCATGGACCCTCTGATCTGGTCCATCCGGGTTCCTTTTAACATCAAGAATGAGCTGAGCCAGAAACTTCTCCTGGAAATGGGTCCGTTTGCCAAGAGCACCTGGACCCAGAACATTTGTTTAGTTCTAGTCAGACATCAAACACCATTTGGACCGCTAGTCGTGGTTACCGACCCGTCATGTTGATGCTGAGTCCAGAGAGCTCCTGGGCCCGTTGGATGTGCTGCTTGGCTGGTTGGTACTCGTAGTAGGTCAGGCTGATGTGGGCGCACTCCAGGTGGAGCTGGATCTCCAGGTTCTTCTGCTCCGACAGCAGAGACAGCTGCTTCAGCGCTGAGAGCCCATCAGAGGAGGAACGACAGGGATCAGAGGTGTGTGTTTGTGTGTGTGTGTGTGTGTGTGTGTGTGTGTGTGTGTGAGAGAGATACAATGATTCATTCACTTATTTTAATGAACGAGCAAATTAATCAGAGCTCTGCTAGTATATCAGATGAATATTATGAGACATTAAAGGTATTTTTTAGATCATCGGTTGCAGTCTGATATTCAGCAGCTAAACCTTTACAGGAACCAACACTGATAAATGATGAAGGTCAGCTAGGAGATACCTGATGGTCCAATCCCACCAGCTGACCAGATGCTACCTCCGACCTCTGACCTACAAACACATCCTTCTGATGAGTAAAACCAGGAGATCCTGCAGAAGGACTGGATGGAGTTTGATCCAAGGCTTATGGAACAACCGGACCAGGCAGAAGAAATTTCCTCTGATGATAATTTGCTCACAAGTCGGTTCAGAACTTAGATCAGATGCTTGTCTGTTAATCTGTTAGCAAAACCTCTCATAAAAGACCTTCCAGAATGATCCGATTTAGAGCTCTGGCACTTTAAGTAAACAAGCTAGAGCTGGCCACGCCCACCCATTACATGCTCAGGGTCCTAAAGGCTGAGATGCTTCGATAACTGGGGGGGAGGAGCTTCGAGTAGAGCTGCTGCTTCTCCAGCAGCAGCATTCAACATGTCCTCTACAGCTAATCAGCTAAAACTGTAGTTCTACTGATATGAAGGTAGCTGGGAGTCATCACACACACACACACACACACGCACGCACGCACGCACACACACACACACACACACACACACACACACACACACACACACACACACACACACGCACACACACACACACACACACACAGAGAGAGATTAGTGAAAATAACATCTATCGTCACAAACGTGAGAATAAAACCGTTGACCGCTCTTGGACCAGCTGGCGGGTGAACTGTGCGTTTCTGGATCTTCTCAATCATAACGTAGACCAGAGTCCGTTGGATTCCAGGTTTGGACCCGCAGCAGGACCAGAACCAGCACCATTGGGCTCTGGTATCTGGCGGTTGTGGCCCGGGGGTGCGGCGAGTGTTCCATGACAGTGTTTGTGTTTAACAGCTAGCTTGTTGTGCAGATTTGATAAAGCAGATTAAACTGATGAGTCAATAATCACAAACGCTGTTAAGACTGATTAGAGCATTCTGAAGGAGCATGATCCACATGGAGTGGAGGTTGCTCTCCCCCATTCCTCAGACCTCCAGCCTGAAGACCTGAGACCTTGAGAAGAGTCATCATTGATGAGGAATGCTCTCCTCTCTTCTGATCTGATTACAGATTCTGTTGTTTTTCAGAGACAAAGAGGCTCTCGTCGGCGGAGACCAGCAGAGGGAACCAAGCTGAGAAGAAGTGCATAATTCATCAGCAGAAAGCAGACGTTCTCCTCCCTTTTCAACATTCATGAAGCAGCTGCAGGTCCGATGGTGCCGGCGCCGGGACAGATGGAGATTTACATGCAGCCCGCCACAGTCACCTTTAGAGCTGGCAGTCTCACAGTGGAGGAAAATGACTCACTGGGGGACGTCTCTGCTGCCGGGACAACAAACAACACGTCTGCAGGAGCTTCTGGAATCTTAACAAGATGGGAAAAAAACCCAGGTGGTGTCGCACAAGGACCACGACATCCTGGTCCAAAGCAACACGGAACCACAGCCTAAAGGTTTTACAACAATCATTATTTTACATCTAAATGTTTTTTAATCCACCATCTCAGCAACACTGGTGGAGACCCAATCCCACAGCTGGTTCAGGTTCAGGAGGGGGTCCTGGTGCTGCTGGGTCAGGTTTATTAGACGGTCTTTGTTCTGCTGGGCCGGATTCTGTAAACTGTCCGGGTTTTGAACTGTTCCATAAGTTTATTTTGGTCATTCCTTAACTTGTTTGGATTATATTATATTATATTAAATTATATTATATTAATTATATATTATATTATATATTATATTATTTTATATTAATTATATATTATATTATATTATATTAATTATATATTATATATATTATATTATATTATATTACATATTAGATTAATTATATATTATATATTATATTATATTAGATTAATTATATATTATATATTATATTATATATTAGATTAATTATATTATATTATATTAAATTATATTAAACGTCTGAAAGGGTCAATTTTCTTCTATATATTGACCAACATAATAACCTTTCATCCACAGAAATAAATCCTCTGTTTGGCCTGCTAAACCCAGAAGGTTCTGTTCAATAAATAATAATAATAAAACAAGAATTACTTCCCGATTAATTCAGTTTCTCGCTGACCCTCAAACCGGCCAAATCAGGAAAGAAGCCTTGTTGAAACCACCTTCTCCTTCGACCCCCTGTCCAAGCCTCTCTGCAACGCTGCGGCTGATACCAGACAACCGGCTCTTCTAAGAGCCAAACAAACATCAACTTTAGATACAAACAAGCATTCCAGCTTCCTGCCTTCACCTGGAGGGATCTCAGACTGGACGGGTCCTATCGGAGCTATCTACGGGTTCCCGATATCAGAGTTCACTCCACCGGCAGTGACCATTGACCCCCGGAACGTACGAGAACCTCCACACCAAGGGTGCGTAGATGTGGCACGACAGATTGCGTCTGATGCTGTTTTTAATAAACAACTCTCTAGTTTATAACAAACAACAAATTCTTTTACACTCAGATTTCACAATTTCTCTCAGATACAAAGAACAGTTGCTACAACATCTAGCTTCCCTCACAACACCTCACATCCACCACATCACATCTCATTATTCATTTCTTGTCATGTATAAATTATTAGTTTAGGAACAGGAATTAAATTCAGTGCTTTTTAACCTTTATACACTCCCTCTCGGCAGTGTCATTAGGATACATGAAGTCAACTTACACAGTTATGCTGATGATACACAGCTGTACATCTCTGTGTCTCCTGATGACTCTCGGCCGATGGATGCACTTTTTAACTGCATTTTAGACATCAAATCCTGGATGGCAGAGAACTTTCTCCAGCTCAACCAGGACAAAACTGAAGTTTTAGTCATTGGTCCTGAGGCCCAGAGAGAGAAATTTTTACCAAAACTACAATCTCTGTCTAATCCTTCTGAACCCGTGAAGAACCTGGATGTGATTTCTGACTCTGAGCTGATCAGATCACAAAAATAGGTTTTTATCGTCTAAAGAACATTGCCAGAGTCCGCCCTATTCTCTCTCGGGCCAATACGGAGATGCTGATGCGTGCTTTTATCACCAGTAGAATAGACTACTGTAATGCCCCGCTTTCTGCACTTCCCAAAAAGAGCATCTCACGTTTATAACTTCTACAAAATTCAGCGGCACGTGTCCTGATGAAGACCAGGAGGCGGGAGCACATTACACCAATTTTAGAATCATTGCACTGGCTCCCCGTATGTTTCAGGATCCATTTTAAGGTTCTTCTAATGGTTTTTAAGTGTCTTAATGGTCTGGGGCCTTCTTATCTCTCAGAACTGCTTTTACCATATGAACCCTCACGGCCTCTGCGCTCCTCTGGCAGGCGTCTCCCGGTCATCCCTGAAGTCAGGACACACACTTAGAGCGAGGCGTCCTTCCAGTGTTATGGCCCTCGCCTCTGGAACGATCTGCCGGAGGACCTCAGGGCCGCAGAGAACGTTCATGTCTTTAAGTCCAGGCTCAAGACCAAGACCCGTCTACTTAGATTAGCTTTTATCTAATTATTTAGTATAGTTTTATTTCTTGTTTTACATGATTATATTTTATTACTGGCTTTGCATCTTTTATATGATTATATTTTAATAATATTATTACTTTAATGTCCATATGACTTTATTTATTATCTTACTTTTTTCATTTATATTAGTTTCATATTTTTACTCATTTTAATCTGGTGTTTTCTCTGTAGGGGCCCTCTGCCCCGGGGGCGGTGGCCAACAGTTGCTTCCTGGGCACTCCACAGGTAGTGTTTAACCCTCCCACTATCCTAATAGGGGTGACCCCGCGAGGAAAGTTGACCATTGAGCAGGATTGATGGTTTATCCCTTGGGTCCACGTGGCAGGGGTGAGGTGGTGCTCACTCCTCACCCCTGCCACGTGGACCCAAGGGATAAACCATCAATCCTGCTCAATGGTCAACTTTCCTCGCGGGGTCACCCATAAAGACAGTGGGAGGGTTAAGTGGAGGTGGGGGTCTATGCTCCCCCTCCTCTGAGCGCCCTGACTTAGTTGCTATGGAAGACCTGATGCTGCCGGGGCAGACGGCTCCTCTGATGGTGTTTCCTTGCCTTACCTGGCTCACCTGGACTCAGCCAAATATAAATTTTTACTGATGCGATTGTGTGTGTGTGTGTGTGTGTGTGTGTGTGTGTGTGTGTGTGTGTGTGTGTGTGTGTGTGTGTGTGTGTGTGTGTGTGTGTGTGTGTGTAGATGAAACCCTGAATAACTAATAAACCACAGATAAATGACTTGATGCTCCATCAGAACATAAAACAATGAAATGATCTGACTTTAATCCACATGAAGACTCGCAGCAGAAGACAGACCTTCATCCATGCTGCTGTGGGCCAGATCCAGGAGCTGAGGAGAACGGGCCTCCAGGACCTGCTGGTGTAGGTTGATGTAGCGTAGAGTCCACCAGGACATCAGCTGCAGAGGAAGAGTGCAAAGGTCATCAGTTTTATTCCTAAAAACTTGCTGCAAATTACAAATAAATGTTAGAAATTGTACTTTTGACTATTTCTGCAGCTGCAGATAAAAAAATCCCCTTAATGAGAAACTAAAACATTTAAGTCATGACTTGTTTATTATTTCTGAGCTGACCCTTGTTTTGTTCAGAGTTGACTATGGTAAGACGTTTAGTGTGGGCTGGAAACCCCCGCTGGCCCCATCAGCACAAATAAAACATCCAGAGAGCTGCAGAGTGCTGAGCCAGCAGTAGAAACAGCAAACTCCTTTCCTTCCACCTGACTACAACAAAAGGCAGCCAGGGAAGGGGGGGGGGGGGGCGCACAAGCGTTCATCTTCTCTGGTTGTCTCGTCTCGTCTCGTCTTCCTCCGCTTATCCGGGTCCGGGTCCCTAGTTGGGATGCTGCCCCCGCGACCCGGACCCTTCTCTGGTTGTACGGAGGTTTAATTGTCCATCTGACTAGATCTGCATCTGCGACTCGTTCCTGCCCCCCGACAGCAGGAGGAACGGGATGAGAACATACATCTAGGATCAGAAACTTCCTTGTAGTTCATCAGGATGTGGACATCATATGAGGCAGATGAAGCACCAGAACTTTGTTCCCCCACAAAGATCGACTTAAGGCGTTCATTTATACTAGAGACCACTGAAGATGTGAACTTGGTCTTTCATTTGAACTTCTGCCTAAAGACTTCATCCAAATTTCAAACAAGTCACATGATGCGGAGCTTTTACTCTTCAGGCTTCATGTTTTCTGGGATTTTAGTTGCTGCGGTTCATCGTGTTAAAGTTTAAATGATCAAAACTCTTCAACTAATGAAAAAAAAAACTCAAAAATCAGAACGAGCCATTTCAGGGTTCTGTCGCTTCAAGAAAACAAGCTATTGCTGGCCACCCCCAGTTTGGGGGTAGAGCTGCTGCTCCACAGATCAGGAGGTTTCTATGTCAGCTCCCCTGATTGTTACATCACAACAAGGGACATTTCCAAATGCCTCGTAGAAACAAAAATTTCCTGAAACCAATGGAGATGGGTTTCATTCATGTTTGGAGAGAAAAGAGCCACATGGCAGCAGAAAAGGAAGCAAAACGCAGATTTACATATGTCCTCTTTAAAATGATAAATGACCTCCACTAAGAGGATTCAGTTAAAGCAGGGACTCCCCAAGTGTGATGCGCGCACCCCTGGGGGTGCGAGAGCTGCCGCTAGGGGGTGCGCGAGGTGAAAAGTGTAATGGCTGCGGAGCTCAGAGAAGTCTGTCATATGTCACCATTATTGTAGCCAGAAACTCATTTGTGGGTGGGCCTAAGAAAAAGTAAGTGGGCCCAATAAATGTAATTGAAAACAAGTATATTTTTGTGTGTGTGTGTGTGTGTGTGTGTGTGTGTGTGCATGTCCTCCGCATGTGCCATAGCTTCACAATAATAATGCGCGCCGAGCTTCAGCACTCTGGCCTGCGCACGCTGTTCATAGCAAGATATGTTCCATATTTGATCATTTTTAACGATGTTGGAGAAATCTGAAGGTGGTGAGTCATTCTGGCAGATTGTAATTAACACCTGTCTCATGCAGGTGTTCTGACATTGTAAACCTCACACACAGAACATTGTGGATGTAACAAAATAAAAAGGTCGATCATATTTTTTTTAACCCTGTCTGTCGAGTGACTGTTTAGCTTGACGTCTGATAGCCTATATATATATATATATATATATATATATATATATATATATATATATATATGTATATATATATAGCCATGCCCTGATGTGGGGGCTGGGGGATGCGTCGACATGGTCGGGACATAGAAGGGGGTGCGCGGCTACATAAGCTTGGGAACTGCTGAGTTAAAGGATTAAATGAATCTGATCACAACAAAAAGCATTGCTAGCCCAAGTTCCCAGAGTGAGCTTTAAAGTTTTTCCAGAATCTTGGTTTAAACGTGCGTTCACCTCCTCGTCTCATGAAAGCGAACGTTATTGTTCTAAAACCGATTCATTTCCCATTTTAAACCCTTTAAAGTCCTCTAAGTGAATTGAATAACTCTTACAGCATTACACAACCAATCCAACGGAAAACAGTGTAAATTCCTCACACCTGCTGAGCTCACAAGTGCGTTTACTTCAGAGTGTAATTTAGCCTCATTAGCTTTGTAAACAGCTGAGTGGTGAGGAGGAGCCACCGGTGCCGATAAACGGAGCAAAAACACCAAAAGCTGCCACTGACTATGGTGAATCAGAGCCGACGGGACCAAGTATTTATGAGTCCGAAACTCCGATCCCTGAGCTGCATGAGCTCATTCTGGGATGTCTGGGAGGAAGCCGTCAAACGTCACAGCCCTAAAACCTCCATTAGCCGCTCAATAACTCCAAAGTGCTCTAGTTTGGAGGACAACCATCTTGGGCCGGGTCCAAACCCTCAGAGTCTGCTAATGCACGACTCCTAATAAAAAGGACACTCGGACGTTTATCTCGGTGTAAATTCAGATTTCAGACACTTTTTATTTCTCTGCTGTCAGACTTTCAAAGACTTCCGTAAAATTCGCTTTATAAAAAAGAAAACTTTATTCCTAGTCCTTCTTTTGCTTTAGGTGATTAACAGAAATAAATAACTCATTTATTATGATTTTATGATGTTTTAACCCAACCAGGCGTAAAATGATCATCAGCCCGGATGTTTGGATCATCTTTGGTTCCTAACCCCACTCCTCTCCATCTCCAAATAAAATGAACCCTTTAAAGTCTCAGTTGAACCTTCAGCTAAATGTCTAAAACTCAGCTTTTGTCTGAAGAAATTCACCCTTAGTCAAACGTTTATTGACCTATCTCCTTCTCTGAAGCAGGCGTTTCACTAACCGAGGCCCAGACGTACCTGGAGACCGTCCATCTTTGACGAGCACTTGGTGAGGATCACCCTGACCAGCAGGAGGAGGAAAGGGTTGACCACCAGGCTGTAGACCGACTCCCCATCCAGCAGCAGGCTGGAGTGGACAGCATCAGTCAGGAAGCTCTGGAGGAGAAGAAGAAGATGATGATGCTGGAGTCTCGTTGAGCTTCAGACTTAAAATGTGACCTAAGTGCCAAAATATTTTAGTTGTTCCATCTTTTAGAGACCTTCTCAGTGGCCTAGTGGTACAGTGTCCAGCCTGGGACTGAGAGACTGGGGTTCAAATCCTGGTCGGGCCATACCAAAGACTTTACCAACAGGACCACTGCCTCCCTGCTTCACACTCAGCTTTAAGGTTGAACCACCAGAGAGTTCCCAAGCGCAGCCACAGCTGCAGCTCACCACTCCCCACAGGGATGGGTCAGATGCACAGATGAATTTCACCAGTGTGTGATGACTAATGGGACTTTAACTTTGTGTGTGTGTGTGTGTGTGTGTGTGTGTGTGTGTGTGTGTGTGTGTGTGTGTGTGTGTGTGTGTGTGTGTGTGTTATAGGAGATGGCGAATGACTTGTTCGACTCGTAAATTCCTAGTTTAGTGGGCAGCAGCTTCGACTCACTCCCTTGTTTTAAACGTTCTGCTCAGAACCTGCAGCACCAACACCAGATGTTTTATTTGAGCTCATCATGTTTCTGATGAATCCAGAGTCAGATTCATTAGAGCTGAACAGCAGGAACAGATTGATCTTCTTGTTTCTGCTGACTGGAGTTCTGGAGCTCCGAGACATTAAAGAACAAGTTCACTGCAGATGTCTCTAATCTGAATTAATGCCTTTTTGAGTCTTTTTGAGAGGAAAAAAAGCTCTGGCTCGCTTGTTTGAGTTGAGTTTGACTATTTCCTGATATGTGGACATCTCTCCCCTGATTGGCTTACAGCGACACGACTCTACCTCTGACTCTGTTTGCTCTGCACCGTTGATGTTGTATCTCCACAAATAAGACAAGCCTGGAGGAGTTCTGCTGTGTGGTGGAGTTGCTAATGCTAACGGTTAGCTTCTACTAGCCGAGACATTCTCTGCTGTTTGCTGGACCAAACCAACAACAGCCTTCCCCGTCATGAGTCCAGATGGGTGAATCCATGAATATTAGTGACAGTGTGACGTAGATTTGTCAGGATTTTCTATCCTAGAGTTTCACCGTCTGTTGTCTATCAGAAGCTACTGCAGGAGATAGGTGTAGGAGACTATTTTCATGTTCAGCCTGCATGAGAAGCTCAGAGTGACCCATTAGAATCAGAAAAAAATGGTTTCTCAGTGAACTTGGTCTTTAAAGCTGCTCCTGGAACACCTTAAAGCTCTCCCAGAATGAAAACCTCTCTAAACTCTCCATTTCCTGCTTCCTGATGAAACAGATGCTGCTGAGAGGAGGAGAGAGGTCCTGGATAGGAGCATCGTGTTACTGGATGATGAGATGGGATCATCCTTCCTCACACCCTCCAACAAACAACAGACCTCTCTGAGGGATTCAGCTGATGTTGATCATTAAACCGACTTCCAGAAGCCTCCAGGTGTGTCTGTTCCTTCATCCAAATCCTTCAGGAACACAGGAATCCCAGCATCCCAAAACCAGAGCAGAACCAAATCCTGGTTCTGACCCAGCCTCTCCGCCCTGGAATTGTGAGGCCAGACACGTATGAAGCCAAACTCATTCCAGCTGCTTGCATTCATGATGAATCCCTGCAGGCAGCAGCAGGGACACCAACCGGAGGAGGCTCGGTTCCTCCAACCAGCAGCACCACTGATTGGTGTCCTGGGAGAGAACAGTACCTGGGAATGACGACGGTGTGATTCAGCGTGAACAATCCCACATGAGAATACAAGTGAAACAGTAAAGTCAACCAGCTTCTCTTTGCACCAATCGGTTCCATTTTCCTGATGATTAGGATGTTTGTTACCAGGCAGAAAATCAGAGACGAGGCTTCGGAAACATCTCCACGTCTCCGTGTGGCGATATGTAGATGTTACGGGTCGGAGCCATGTGGTCCTCCATGCTGCTGCTGCAGTAATCAGGATCATCCCATAATTCTCCAGGGATGTCTTACACCACTCATGAAATTCTGCAGCTTTATCCCTCCGTTTCCTGCCTCTGTTGCCACGGCATCCTGAGCAGCATTTAAATGGTTTCTGTTGCTCAGACAGCCACATGACAGGCACTTTACAGAGTTTGTCCTCGCCTTCACCTGTGCTGTCAAACACGTATGGACGACCTGCTTCGTAACACGGCTTCCTCGCCGTGACAGCACATAAATCACTAACGCCAAAGGAATTACTCCGACATAAGGAATGGTCTCTCCTCGGGTGTAACGGTGGGATGAAACGCGCTATTGTGCAACGCTACGGCGGACCAATATCCTGGAGTCGGAGTAATTAGGACCCCCAGAGATGCGTCATTACTGAGAACTTCTCCTGAGCCTACAGCTCCGTCTGCCTCTCCACTCGTCTGCGCTCTCTCCGGTGTCGGATCAGGATTAAACTCCTGAAACGTCCAGGATCATCAGGAGGACGTTGGACACAACCAGGAATCAGGACTTGGTCACAAACTTACAACATTAAAGGAGATCTGAGACGTTTATCAATGTTTGAGCAGAAAAGAATATAACCATCCTGTAGAAGGTCACCTGAACGGCCTCGGTTCTCTCTAACCACAGGACTGAGGTGCTAACGGCTAGTCCAGGGCTCGGCAACCTTTTCCTATCACAGAGCCATTATTACCCGTTTCCCACCATAAAGAAGACACTGGGAGCCGTGGCGTTGTGGGTGGGGCCTAAAATCCTGAGAGAATTTTGACGTGTGCCACACCCTTGTTGAGCTATTTTTCCAACACTCAGCGGCCCGACTCATCCAGCTGCGACTGAGCACGGAGGTCCAGCTCCGTGAAGCAGAACTCTGGACGTGTGTTCTGCTGAAAAACTAATGATGGTCCTACGGAGATCCCAGCAGATGGGACAGCACTGTTCTAGACAGCATACAGACTAAATGACACCTTCATCTCTTAACAAAAAATAAATCTCCTAATGGAGATGATGCGTGGTTTTCAAAATAAAAGCTCCTTTGTTGACCACACACCACATCGGCCCAAACCTGATCGTTTATGAGCTAAAAGCCCAAAGGGAACCCCCGTGTTTCTCACCTCAACAATAGCAGAGCAAGAAACCGTCTCATTTCCTTTCAGGTAGAACTACAGCAGGCATGAGCGTCTTACCTGAGAGGGCCGCAGGGCCGGCGGAAGCACATCCCACAGGAGGAACGGGACCGGAGGTCCAGTCCAGTTACTCTGAGCAAACACATGGAGGCAGGACACAGCGAGGGCCATCAGAACCAGCTCCCTGCAGACAGACACCAGTAATGACAAATGACCTGAACTTGTATAGCGCCTTCGGAGTCCAAGGACTCCAAAGCACTTTACACTCCCGTGCATCATTCATCCATTCACACACGATGAGCTACATCATTGCCACAGCTGCCCTGGGGCGCACTGACAGGCTCCACCTGTCTTTCCGGCCACCACCAGTCAGGGAGGGTCTAGTGTCTTGCCCAAGAACACTACAGCAGGGAGCCGGGATCGACCCTACAACCCTGTGATTACCAGACAGCCAGCTCTCCCTCCTGAGCTACTGCTGCCCGACTATTCAGGAGGTTCAGATCAAGATCAGGTCGAACGAAGGAGGAAAATCAGACAGAAGAAATCAAGACGAGGGAGTTGTTCGTTTTCCTCACGCTGCCAGTAGACGTGATGACTCTGGGCTTCTCCTACCTGCTAATTCTACATCTGACTAACGAGAGCCATCCACATCATTTATGTGTTTTAATTAGATCACTTTAAAGAGACAAATAAGAAGAGACAGAAGAGGAGAAATGGAGTGAGTCGTGATGGGGTGGAGCTCAGGAGGAGGCTACGTCGTCATGATGAAAAGGCTAATTATTCCACCTCCAGAATGGTTCCAGTCAGATGCAACCAGGAAACAACCCTGGATTTGCATTTACTAGTCCTAAATTGGCTGCATGGTGGCACAGTTGTTAGCACTGTTGCCTCGCAGCACAAAGGTTGCAGGTTCGAAACTCGGCTGCGGCCTTTCTGCGTGGAGTTGCGTGTTCTCCCCATGCACGCGTGGGTTTCCTCCGGGTACTCCGGTTTCCCCCACAGATCACAACATGCCCTACAGCAGGGGTGTCAAACTCAAACTCACAAGGGGCCGAAATGAGACTCTGGGACGGAGTCGAGGGCCAAACTTAATATTTTTTGAAAAAGTGACGGCAAATTTGCACGTTTTCGTTATCAACATATATGCAATTTTGAACCTTTAAATTTGGAAACAAACATATTTCTGCATTAACACTGAATGTGGAATAACCAAATTACACACGAGCAAGTCAGTTTTAAATAAAACACATCAGTGGTATTCATTACTTGTGGTATAATCAACATTTTATAAATCTATTCAGGATTTATGTTTTCTTGTTAATTCATTTTTCTTATTTTTTATTCTCCTTTTTTTCTCCTGTAATAAGTGTCATCGCTGCTGTGACATCTAGCTTTCCCCACTGAGGAACAATAAAGGGATTTTCTATTCTATTCATCTATCTGCAGCCTTTCCACTTCCTGTTTACTGTAGGTTAATCTTTTCTCACGGGCCAACAACAAAATAAAAATATCATTTTATCTTAAATGAAAATGCAACATCTCACCTGTTAACTTTCATGTTTTGGAGCAGAAAAAGAGCATAAAACCAACATATTTAAAGCTCAGTTTGCTCCACTGGTTTACTGTGATGCTCACCTGTTCCAGCCAGATACCTGCATCATGGGGTTGATCTGAGCTGAGGAGGAGACTCCTGTTGTTTTGTTCATCTTCATCATAATAATGACAACATTAGATGACAACAGGTGCTCACATAGGTTTGTGCTGATGAACATGTCTGAGCAGCTTGACCACGTCGTTGTGTGTCGGGGAGGAAAAATAACAACGACAGCAGCCACAGAGTCGTGCTGGTTTGAGCGTGTCGCTGCTCGCTGGAGTTATATCACCTCTGTCTGGAAGTTAGTTGGAAAACTTTCTCTGTCAGTCGTGAACACATTACTGAGCGGCTAGAATCTCAGTTTCTGGGCTTCAACGTCAGAAAACAGCTGAGTGAACTCGGCGCTGAGTGAGAGGAGTGGTTTGTCCGAGACCGCGGAGCTGCAGAGACCCAACTACCTCTGACTGCCTCGGCGCTGAAAAAACACAAAGGAGGGGGCGCGTCTGCTCCGCGCTGGCGCCGCAAAGCATCATGGGAGTTGTAGTCTTTGCAGTAAAATCAGCCAGCGGGCCAGTTTTAATATATTTTTGATATTTATTTCGCGAGCCACATAAAAATGCTCCGCGGGCCGCATCTGGCCCGCGGGCCTTGACTCTGACATATGTGCCCTACAGGTTATAAATTGTAAGTAGCTTTGGATAAAAGCATCTGCCAAATAAACAAACATAAACATAAACATAATTAGTTTACACGTAGAGCAGCTGATCCGTGCTGCTGGATCACCTGTCGGTCTGGCTGCTGGTGGAACCATGGGTCAGATACAGCAGCAGATGTCTCTCCAGGTAGGTCTCCACGTCCTCCTCCTCGCTGCAGCTGCCATCTCCAGCAAGAAGGTCCAGAACCGGTGGGCTCAGCAGAACTGTCTGAAAGTCTCCCTCCAACAAGGACTGCAGCAGAGATCCGGCCTCTGGGGGAGAGATGAAACCCAACAGCTCAGAACCAGACAGATGGGATTCAAACAGATTATCCTGAACTCTGTACGGACTGAAACAATCCGCTGATGTTTCAAAGGGCTATGAGTCAAACTCACTCAGCTGGAACACGAGCAAAAAGGAGAAACTTTAGGATCCACTTACACATCAGGGTTGAAACCTTAAAAGGTGGCAAACTCCAACGGCTGAAAGGGACAAGGCTGGGGGGCTGAGAGGTTCTGAGCTAAGGGAGTGGACTCACTCCCAGTTCAGCCTCAGAACATAATTGTACCTAAACATCTTCCCAGGGGAACTCCTCCAACCATTCCACAACGGTTGGTGACGAACTCCAGCATTATGGAGCACCAGACCTGAAGGATAGAGCCATAACTAAGTGGATCAGGACCAGAACATCTACCACGAGTATGGAGTATTCCGACCCCCATCAATTTTTCACTCTGTTATATTGCAGCCATTAGCTAAAATCAGTTAAATGTAATTTTTCCTTATTAATGTACACACAGCACCCCGTGTTGACAGAAAAACAGATTTTAGAAGTGTGTGCAGATTTTTTAAAAACTGAAGTAAAAAATTGACAGGGGTCTGAAAACTCTCCATACTGACGGTACCTGTTGGGTCTAGGTCCAGACCTTCATCCCATCCTCCAGAGGCAGGAGGACACACAAACCCAACTCTGATGAAGAATGAGCTCCATCAGTCAGGACCTGGACTTGCAGGTCAGGGTGGACCACAGAGGCCTAGAAGGACCAACACTAGAGATGTGAAACGTCTAATTCTACTTCTGTAACCATGGAAACATCAGCTACAACCAACCTGCATTATTTTATTAGACATGAATCAACGTTTCGGTTTGTGTGTCTGACTCTGGAAGTCTCACAGCTTTTCCCAACAGGATGATGCTTCCACCCTTTTGTAGTGTAAACATCAGATCCTCATTAGGAGCAGACTGAAGCTTCGGTCATGCCGGCGCGTTCTCTGGGAGGCGAGGACGTTCGGATAAAACAGAAAATGATAAAGGAAGAGACTGAGGGTGGCTACAAGGCCAACGCGCGCTGAGCAGAACGGCGGTTGCACTGAGCTGCCGGTTTAACATCGGCCCGTCTTTCATTAGGTCTTTATTAGAAGAGGGAGCAGGCTTGGCTCATTAGTGCTGATTGCTTTGTGTTCCCAGGTGGAGCGAAGGCAGAGGAACAGAAACTGGATAACAAATAAACAGCGTCACGTTTCTCCGACAAATAAACATGTTTTTAATCTGAGACGATCTCTTTCCCAGGCAGCCCGCCATGCTTCGAATACCAACACCAAATATAATTTGCTGTCCGACTGTTTTCAGCTGCAAAAGCCATATTTACGATTATTAATGAGCAGAAACTTTAATACACATCTCCACATGTAGACTTTAGTCGTGTCGTATGCTGGCAGTCCCTCTCCTATAGGCGTGTACAGAGGGAGCGCAGGCAAGCCTTCAGACCAAAGTAACAGCCATTTATTTTAATGTGGGGTTGAAACGCCGTTTTTAACCAGATCAATGAGACGCTGGTTTGATTCCCGGTCCCACTATGTGTCCAAGCAACCCGAGACACTCTAACCCACAAAGCTCCTAATATATACATATATACAAATACATATATATGTATACATATATACATATATATGTATTTGTATATATGTATATGTATACATATACACATACATATATACATATATATGTATTTGTATATATGTAAACAGATACACATATACATATATATATATATATATATATATATACACATATACATATACATATATATGTATACATATATACATATATATGTATTTGTATATATGTAAACAGATACACATATACATATATATATATATATATATATATATATATATATATATATATATATATATACACATATACATATACATATATATGTATACATATATACATATATATGTATTTGTATATATGTAAACAGATACACATATACATATATATATATATATATATATATACATATACATATATACATATACACATATATACATATATACATGTAAACATATATACATATATGTATATATACGTATATATATATATACATATATATATATATATACATATATATATATATATATATACACATATATACATATATATATACACATATATATATGTATATATGTGTATATATATATATATATATATATATATATATGTATATATATATATACATATATATATATATATATGTATATATATATATATATATATATGTATATATATATATATATATATATATATATACATATATATATATATATATATATATACACATATATACATATATATATACACATATATATATATATATATATATATATATATATATATATATATATACATATATTATGTGGTGGGGCTGTTTTGCTGCCAATGGAACGGGTGCTTTACAGAGAGTAAATGGGATAATGAAGAAGGAGGATTACCTTCACATTCTTCAACATAACCTAAAATCATCAGCACGAAGGTTGGGTCTTGGGCGCAGTTGGGTGTTCCAACAGGACAATGACCCCAAACACACATCAAAAGTGGTAAAGGAATGGCTAAATCAGGCTAGAATAAGGGTTTTAGAATGGCCTTCCCAAAGTCCTGATGTAAACCCCATTGAAAACATGTGGACAGTGCTGAAGAAACAAGTCCATGTCAGAAAGCCATCAAATTTAACTGAACTTCACCAATTCTGTCAAGAGGAGTGGTCAAAGATTCAACCAGAAGCTTGCCAGAAGCTTGTGGATGGCTACCAAAAGCGCCTAATTGAAGTGAAAATGGCTAAGGGACATGCAACCAAATATTAGCACTGCTGTATGTATATTTGTGACCCAACAAATGTGATCACTTTTCTTTGTTAACCCATAATAAATACATTAAAGAACCAAACTTCATGAATGTTTTTTGTGACAAAGAAGTATCTGTTCCAATCACTCTATCAGAGAAAAATCAGAGTTTTAGAAATAACGGGACACTCAGTAGAGCCATTATATTATATTTTTTACAAGTGTATGTAAACTTCTGACCACAACTGTATGTGTATGTGTGTGTGTATATATATATATATATATATATATATATATATATATATATATATATATATATATATATATATATATATATATACACACACACACACACAGTGGGGCAAAAAAGTATTTAGTCAGCCACCGATTGCGCAAGTTCTCCCACTTAAAATGATGACAGAGGTCAGTAATTTTCATCATAGGTACACTTCAACTGTGAGAGACAGAATGTGAAAAAAATCCATGAATTCACATGGCAGGATTTTTAAAGTATTTATTTGTAAATCAGGGTGGAAAATAAGTATTTGGTCACTTCAAACAAGGAAAATCTCTGGCTCTCACAGACCTGTAACGTCTTCTTTAAGAAGCTTTTCTGTCCTCCACTCGTTACTTGTATTAATGGCACCTGTTTGAACACGTTGGCTGTGTCTCAATTCAGGGTCTGCATCCTTCGAAGGACCCAGCCCACCCGGCCGACGTGGGCTGCATCCTCCGTCGGCCGGGTAGACCGGATGTTAACGGCTGTGAATTTGGACAGGCCTAGCCTTCATGAACTCCCTCGGCGAACGTTCCGTCGCCTAGCAACCGTGGAACCGCTGGGCAGAAGGGAGAAGGAACTTTAAATGATGGAGCTTGACGTTTTATTTAGCTTTTTAACCCCCAGAAACCCAAATTTAGAAAACAACTGCAAAATCTTTTTTTAACCTTTCACATGTTCTAGGCCAGATAAACGGGCCTATTTACACATTTTAACAGCCAATAGTGTTGCAGAACTGAACAATAGGACCTATTAGCAATGTAAATGTTGTTTGAAAAAGAAAAAAAATGGGGAAGGTTTATTTTTGTGGACTTAAATCTGATGTTGTAATGTTACAACCGTGGGTCTCTGGGGGTTAATCATTTCCTTGACTGTTGGAGAGCTAATTCAGAGAAAATACTTTAGACAAGCTGAGCCTGAGCAAAGATGTGATAATAGTTTTTAATACTTTCTAAGGGTCTTAATTTGACCAAAACCGATTTGTCACCTTTTAAGACTTTTCAAGACCCAGCGGATACCCTCTAGTAAACAATTCTCATTTGTAAACAAAAATAGAATTCAAGGGTTTAATACAGAATTGATTTTATTTAGATATTTCTTTTACATGTACATGTTTAATCCTTATTAACCATTTTTCTAGCAAAGTAAAAAGCTGTCAAAGTTCTCCCTTCTCTCCTGGGCCCTCTGCTGCTCTGCCTCCCTCTGCAGCCTCATGTCCTCCCTGATCAGCTCCAGAAGCTGGTCATTGCTGGCACCTTCCCCTGGATGCCCATTTTCTCCAGAATAGTCTTAACAAACATGTAAGAAAAGAAACAGGAAGAGAAAAGAGGACAACGGGTTATTCCTTTCATGTTTTCACAGAAAAAATAAACTCAAACGAGTTCTTTAAAATATGAGATGTTATTGTACCTCCATGCCACAGCCGCCGAATACTTTGCTCCAGTGATCAAAAGTGGTCCATCTCTGCCCTAAGCTTAATAAATTCCCTGGTTTTCTCTTTTGGTCCTAAAATACAAACTTCTATTAAAATCAGGGGGAAACGTAGCGGGAGAAGTACGACACCGAGCGGCCGAACATACGAGCCGAGACCGCAATACAAGCACTTTTACTGTAACATTTTTAACTAAAATAACGTTCATGTATCACAAAAAGTCCTTAAACTAACAGTTTTCAAGTTTATACTGACATTTATAAGCGCAATCCTCTCCGACAGCTCCCGCTTCACTGTCCGCCATTGTTTTTAAGTTTTTCTGCCGGCCGGCCCGCAAGGCATCTTGGGAAATGCTACCCATTGAAGGATACACCGGATCCATCCTTCATTCAGGCGAAAAGAAGGCCGCATTCGTCGACCGCATTTGAAGGAGTCTTCGAATTGGGACAGGCCGAGTCGCGGCGCTGTGACGTAACCGGCCGACGAATCCGGCCGAGGTAGGATGCAGACCCTGAATTGAGACACAGCCGTTATCTGTATTAAAGACACCTGTCCACAGCCTCAAACAGTCAGACTCCAAACTCCATTTTGGCCAAGACCAAAGAGCTTTCGAAGGACACCAGGAAAATAATTGTAGACCTGCACCAGGCTGGGAAGAGTGAATCTACAATAGGCAAGCAGCTTGGTGTGAAAAAAAGGAGCAAAACTGTGGGAGCAATTATCAGAAAATGGAAGACATACAAGACCACTGATAATCTCTCTCGATCTGGGGCTCCACGCAAGATCTCATCCCGTGGGGTCAAAATGATCATGAGAACGGTGAGCAAGAATCCCAGAACCACACGGGGGGACCTGGTGAATGACCTGCAGAGAGCTGGGACCACAGTAACAAAGGTCACCATCAGTAACACACTACAACGGCTGGGAATCAAATCCTGCAGTGCCAGACGTGTTCCGCTGCTGAAGCCAGTGCGTGTCCAGGCCTGTCTGAAGTTTGCCAGAGAGTACATGGATGATACAGCAGAGGATTGGGAGAATGTCATGTGGTCAGATGAAACTAAAGTAGAACTTTTTGGTATAAACTCAACTCGTCGTGTTTGGAGGAAGAAGAATACTGAGTTGCATCCCAAGAACACCATACCTACTGTGAAGCATGGGGGTGGGAACATCATGCTTTGGGGCTGTTTTACTGCTAAGGGGACAGGACGACTGATCCGTGTTAAGGACAGAATGAATGGGGCCATGTATCGTGAGATTCTGAGCCAAAACCTCCTTCCATCAGTTAGAGCTTTGAAGATGAAACGTGGCTGGGTCTTCCAACACGACAATGATCCCGGGCAACAAAGGAGTGGCTCCGTAAAAAGCATTTGAAAGTCCTGGAGTGGCCTAGCCAGTCTCCAGACCTCAACCCCATAGAAAATCTGTGGAGGGAGTTGAAAGTCCGTGTTGCTCGGCGACAGCCCCAAAACATCACTGCTCTCGAGAAGATCTGCATGGAAGAATGGGCCAAAATACCAGCTACTGTGTGTGCAAACCTGATAAAGACCTATAGTAATCGTTTGACCTCTGTTATTGCCAACGAAGGTTATGTTACAAAGTATTGAGTTGAAATTTTATTATTGATTAAATACTTATTTTCCACCCTGATTTACAAATAAATTCTTTAAAAATCCTGCCATGTGAATTCATGGATTTTTTTTCACATTCTGTCTCTCACAGTTGAAGTGTACCTATGATGTAAATTACTGACCTCTGTCATCATTTTAAGTGGGAGAACTTGCACAATCGGTGGCTGACTAAATACTTTTTTGCCCCACTGTGTGTGTGTGTGTGTGTGTGTGTGTGTGTATATATATCTATATATATAATTGTTCAGTCATGTGACAGTGAATGAAATCATCATCTTTAAGTTGAGTTATTCAAAAAATTTTAAGGGAACAGACCAGCTGGTAATGGGCAGAGCCATTTCAGTGCTTTTATAAATCCTTACTTGGTGTTTTAGGGTTGTGTTTTATGAACGGCTGATCAGTTAGACCTCTGAGCTGTCCAACAACAATGGTTCTCTTGGTGAAGTCTTTAGTTTAACTAGAAAACCACCTGATTTACATGAAGATCGTGGTACACTAGACAGGTGGATCCTGGTACTTTATGGTCAACATATCCAGGTGATGGTTCCCCCCACCAGCTGGGCTCTCACTGGGCAGGTGGGATAAACCTAAATGGGAGTCACGGCGTCATTCTATTAATAACTGAACATATTAAACCAATCAATAATGGCGTCCAGGTGGCAGCTCTGCTTGGGTTTTGCTTTGTGGCATCTTCCTTCTCGTCTTCCACACGTCCGTGAACGATGAGGTGAAGTGAAACACTCTGGGGTTAGTCAAAAGCAGTTAATTAGCAATTAATAGACGACTATTTCGTTTGTCGACGTTGTCGTGATGAGTTGACTAAACGTGGCAGCCCTAGTTGTGTGATGCCAGAAGCTCCGCCCTCACAGAGCATTCAAAAAGCAATAACAATGAAGTTTTAAGTATCGGGCGTGGCATTAAAGCAGAAGCTTTGATGCTCCACCTGAGAGTAAATCTGTAAGGCTTGTCACCAGCATTCAGACATCAATTCTGTTTTCTTCACAGCCAGACAAGACACGGGGGAAAAAGAAGCTCCACCCTCACAGAACCGGTCCGTTAGAACAGAAAGGGTCCAGGTGTGGTACGGCTCAGCTTTTACAGTGGGACAGACACAACAGCACACCTACCGGACCCACACCGCCCAGTTTAAATGAGGCAAAGCGTAATGCTGCATTCAAGAGCGCTTTGGAAACTGAGTTCTTACACCTGCTCCCAACAGTAGATTACCAGATTCATCTTGTTTATCCCATTTTAGCCTCAGCTTAAATGCCCTGGTTAACCTTTAAGCATTTATAGGATTTTAAGCACCCATAAGAATTCTGTAAGAGTAAATATCAGCTGAATGACAGGATGATTAAAAGCATCAGTAAATAAAAGTCTCCTGTATCCTGTTCATGCAGACGGGCGTTAACGCTTTCATAAACATCCTCATGATGCAAATGCCGGAAACAGCAATGGCCGACTGCGTCCTCACACGAAAACGCTTTTCTGGATACATCCATCAATCACATGACCTCGCCGCCGTACCCTTGGCTTTAATAAGGTGCGATCGACGTTGTAAAGTGCTGTGGAGATTTTCATCTCACAGCTGATCTAATGAAACCCAGGGGCTGCCATAAAGGCAGGAGGAGGAGGGAGGCAGAGGACAAGGAGGAGGACGAGGAAGGCTCCGGCTTTATGAGAGGGGGAAATGAACACCTGAGGTGCGGCCACACGTTTAATGAAATTTCAGCTCCTCTTCAGGCCTGCCAATGAAATGGAAGCAATTATGGAAAACAAGGGAGAGGGTGCTCAAATTAGTCCATAACTCATAAAGGGTCCAGCAGTGAGCTGCAGTTAATAAGGCAATTGTGAAAAGGATTTGCAAAAGCGGACGAGGCTGAGCAGCAATTTAGAGCCAAGATGGAGCCTCAGGAACAGCTCACGTGGGCCTCGCTATTCCTGTACTGTTTACAAATCAGTTCTCAACCGAAAGCCAGCCTCAGACGGTGGTCAGCGAGGTGGGCGGGGATGTTCTGGTTCCGTCCTGCCCCTAATTACCCTCCTGTCATTTCCAAAGGCTTTTCCTCTTCAACAACTGAATAGGATCTGTTCTCCCAGAAGGCTGTGCATCAGACAAAATAACAAAATGATTCATGATGCAACTCAGGACAAAAAGCTGAAATTCTGTCGGCCGTTTCCACGGTTACAGAGGTACAATTACAATAAACATAGAATTCACATCGCCAGTGATGGTTCTTCTAGGTCTCTGTATTCCACCCCAACCAGCAGGTCCAGGTTCATTCTTCATCATCAGTGTTGTTCTCCTGCCTCTGGAGGGTGGACCCCAACTTCTCAGCAAAAGCTGCACCGTCAGAGGTCGGGTCCAGTTCTACGGTACACATTTGGCTCAAATGCATACACATACATGTGGTCAGTTGTTGAAAAGTTCGACAACAGCTCTTCTATGAGAACGATTGATGAAGCTTCCTGCTGTTTCTGCTGCATTACCATCTCCACCATCTGAGTCATGGTGTCAGCCCTCCAAACTCCCACTAAATATGTCATGGATCAATTTCTGGCCCGTTTGCTTTAGTTGATTTAGTAATGATCATGTTACATTTGCTGCCAGCAAAAACGAATGAAAACTCATTTATTTTATTTTATTTTCAATATTTACAAAATGACGAAGCTGTTGATCCAATCGAGTTTATTTGTTATCATTAATGTCATCACTGACGAGCCATCTGGTTGAGCTAACTTTAGTGGAGAAAAGCTAGCTAGCCTTTCAGTTCTGCACAAATGTTCGGATGGCAAACAGAACTTAAAAGAAGACGAGAGCATGCCGCTGCGTCTTCAGCGGTTCTGGTTCGACAGGGTCAACTAAACAGAGCGAGATATTGGAGGTGTGGCTATAATGATTCTGAAAATAAGTTGTGTACAGCAATGGAGAAAGCGGAGTCTCCCCAAGTTCAGAGCTTGGTCCTGTGGGGAGGAAGAGGAGGGAGAGCAACGGGGCAGAGAGGTAGGAGGGGCCGGTGTCGTGCCAATGTAGTTACCCCTGCCAAAATTTGTTTCCCCTGCCTTGGGCACAAAAAAATAACCCTCACCCTGACACCTACTGTAACCATAACATTCAATCACCAAAAAAGTATGGTTTTGCGTGGGACGATTTCATGTTTGTGGGACGATTTCAAGTTTGTTATAGGGTTATGATTAGGGTAAGGGTTAGGACACGCATTTTTTGGCTGGTTGGAGACGAAACAGATCTAGAGGGGGTAACTGAATTTGTCATAACACCTGTACACCCTCCCGACGCAGGGGAAACCAACTCTGGCGGGGATAATTACTAGAGGTGGGAAAAATGATCGATTCTAAGATGCATCGCGATTCAGCCGTGTATGATCCTGCATCGATGCAGCAACATGACATAATGAGATTCTCACAATGTCTATGTTCTGGACGCGTGAGGAAAATCAAGTTTTGAGGTTTTACAACTACTTCCAGGGGCAGAGTTGCTATGACATGTGCATTGCGTTGCCGTAGCCCAGGGGTCGGCAACCCGCGGCTCTGGAGCGCATGCGGCTCTTCCATCCATCTAATGCGGCTCTCTGTGCTTGTAAAATAATGAATGGATATTTTTTAAAAAAGCTTTATATTTTACTGCATTAATTTTACATCTGTGTGCCAATTCTAAATGTAAAGATTGTCTGCGCAAACCTGAACAGGTCCAACCCGGTCTTACTGTGAGACCGGGTTGACGCGTCACGCTTGTGCGCATTCTGAGCTGAAGAGGATGTGAGATTCTGGGCTTCTCCTCAGACGGCTCCTGGATGCATCGCCACATTGGAGACAGGAACAAGCACAATTCAGCCAAAGTTTCATAATCAGGGAACATTTTCTAAGTGACAAGTCTCTCTGGGGGACAGGGTTTGGAAAACGCTCGCTTCAGTCGGAGGAATCTTCCCGCATGCGCTCTGGTTCTGCGACGCCCCTCTACACATCTTCAGCTCGCTGTGGACCATACGTACGCGCTGACGGCGAGCTGTCTAAGCCGTGTCCAGCTCAGATGTTCAGATGGGAATCTTTTCTTGAGCGATTTAGCTACAGCTGCGATGTGCTTAACGAATAAAATGTCAGTTCGTCTGCATGCGTCGGGGTAATTCTTTCTCCGTCAAAATAGACGGTCAAATACGGGAACTGTCCGGTCAACACAAGGCCTGCTTTTAACGGTTTTGTTTTCTTGTGAAAATTGTTGCAAATAGATATAATTTAACGTGATGAACACCAGAACCAGGCGCACTGCGCCGTCATCTCCGTCACTGTAAATGAGGGAAAAACAAAATGATCGGATCCTTTTCTGACCTTCCCCACCTACAAAGTTTAATTACAACAATTAAACGTGACAGAGCCTGGATTTGTATTCTGAACAGTCTAAACATGTTTTAAAAAGAAATGTATGACAAAAGTGGCACCTGCTCAGTAAAACCACCAACAGGGTGAAAAATATCTAAATATTGTAGGCAGAGACGGGCTACAACTTCTGGATCCACTTTATATAAATCGTTTTATTGATTATCGTCTTATGAAAGATAGCTTTGACGTACACGAGCGACCGGTACTGACTGCTGTCACCTGTTGTGATTGGTTAAAGCAGCTCTCTGCACAGTATTTGTTTACTATTTTTAAGTTCAGTAATATTCTATCTTAAAGCCGCTCCACAGAAAACATTATTTATTATATTATTTAAGTAATTATAGGCAGCACACTTTAAAAATTGTTGCTCACTATAGTGAATAGATGTATGTTCTGTATTTCAGGGATATCGAAATAAAAAATAAATTGAAAACTATTCTACTGCTTTTATTAAGTAATGAAAAATTTTGTGTGAACAATCGTGATGCATTTCAGACTCAAATTGAATCGTTAGGCAGATAATCGGAATCGGATCGAATCGTGAGGCAGGTGGAGATGCACACCACTAATAATTACATTGGCATGACACCTGGTTATGGAGGACTTTTGTGATGCTCTGAGGAAGAGGAAGCCAGTGGAGGTCATGAAGAGAAAAGAGTGATGAGGTCACAAGAGTGGGTGTTGTTAGGAGACAGAGCACCATAAAGATGTTATTCCTGTTGTCCAGTGGTTACCTCATTATTTCTGAAAATGATGAGAGGAAACGATCAGGCCCGCCCAGAAATAAAAACTGTGTTAGCGACTAATTTTACTTTTACTTGATTATAAACATGTTGCAGTAGTACTACGTGTACTCGGGTTTTTCAATTTCAATTTATTTATTAATAATCAGGACAGTGCATGTTAACATCAGTCACGCTGAAACATGCCAGAGTTAGCCATAGGCTAGTTTACAACTGTAGTCCTGTGCCAGTTGTACAGTCGGCATCCTAGGGAGGACATTATAAAACACCTATACAATCATAAATAAAATATAAGATTGATATAGAAAAGTTACATTAGTCCGGTACAAAATTGAACATCAGTTGGATTTGACTCATCAGCCAGGAGGTCCTCCACCTCGCACATTTATGCTGACTCATCATCAGTGGCGGCTGGCCAGTAGAGGGCGATAGGGCGCCGCCCTCCCAGTTTTCCCCAGTGATTTTAATTTTTATTTAAAAAAATAAATAAATAAAATTAACAATAATCACATATTCTAAGTTAATTGTGTGTTTTGTAACAAAAACAAATCATATATATATATATATATATATATATATATATATATATATATATATATATATTGGTCAGAAGCTCTCTGCTGAGCTGTGGAGCCGACAGAAAGGCTGTGGGCTGTGTTTCAATCGCCCAAACATCACGAAAGCAGTCCGCCAATTGCTGACAAGAAAATCAAACGGTAGGAATGGGAATGTATCCAATCAGCGTCGACGTTGTTTCAGAAGCATGATGGGCGATAGAGCTACCGCCAAAGGCTTTCGTTGGTGTTCGGCAGAACTCGGAGACTCTCGACTCCAGCACGTTTTTGGTCGTGACGGTCATGGTCGTGACGCAGATGGACGCCAGTGATACAACCAGCATGGATACCGGATCTCAGCAGCCACTGAATTCAGTTCGGTCTCTTCTCCAGTATCCGTTCGAGAGGAGAACTATGGTGGAAAAACTTAATGTCAAAGAGCTTGGACCATATCAGCTCGACGTAAAGATAAGCCAGCAGGAGGAGAGAGGTAAACTGTACACACCAGGCTTCTGGGAAGGCTTGGCTAGCTGGATGCAATCACGCTAATGCGTTATTTTGCTTTCCGTGTTTGTTATTCAAAACGACTGCGACAGATGAGGCATGGATTGAGTCAGGAGTTACGGACATGAAACATTTTTCTGAGAAGGTGAAGAAACATGAGTTATCCCGGGCGCACATGGACAACACGGTGAAGCTACCTATGCTAGGCAGAGCTAACATTGCCATGCAGCTAGAGACGAGGGACACAGGCTTGCAGTGAAGAAACACAAGGAAGAAGTGGATCAGAACCGGCACACTTTGTCCAAGAGAGAGATGTCAACACAGTGTATGAGCACAAGGATGACCTCCTCAGATTTTTCCAGATGATCAGAGACTCGGATGACTTTGATCCAATCACTGAGAGAGAGGCAGGAGGCTTTGTGAGAATGCTGGAGGAAGAAGATTTCGGCTTTCTGCTGGCATTGTGTCACAAGATCATGCCACATGTGGACATGCTGTTCAACCAGCTGCAGAAGAGGAACACTGACTCTGTCTACATCACAGGGGTCATCCAGAGCTTCACCAACAGTATGCAGCACCATGGACAGCACTATGGACAGCTCCACCCTTGATCAGTCCTGCACAGCAGTCCCTCCAATCATGGCTGACAAGTGGCGCCTTTTAAAGGGGAGCAGGTCACCAGCGTTCAGTGCAGAGGGAGGACAGAGATGTGTACTGTTGGTCCACTTCCCATATCTAACATATTTTAATGTTCATAAGAACTTGACGCTGACGCCCTCAATCACTCTTTTTTTTTATTTGGTATTGGCTTTAATTTTCTTTTAAAGAGACAATGTGTAGTTTTTACTGGTAATCCCTGAAAATATCCATCAAAATGATGTTGAAAATGAATGATGCCTAGTGGTTGGAAAATAGCTTTCAATCAATCAATTTTATTTGTAGAGCACCTTCCACAACGTTATCAGAAGCCCAAGGTGCTGAACAGCATCATCATAAAAACATACCCAGTACCTGGGCATAAAAGCAAGATAAAAACATAAAATCATAAAATAACAAGCAAGCAATATTACAAATACAGACAGATAACGGAATAAGACTAATCGATTAAAAACAAATGGTGGACAAAATAAGATCAAGCATCCTGATCAAAAAGAAGAGGTATTAAAAACCATAATGTCAGGGCAATTCAAAGAACCCTAGGGATGAAAAGCAATCAAATAAAAATGAGTATTTAAACGAGACTTAAAGACTTGATGGGATGGTGCCTGCCTAATGCTCAATGGCAATTCATTCAACAGAGTTGGAACCAAAACAGAAAATGCACGATAACCCCTCGATCGATATTTCGGCCGGGGGACCACCAGACGTCCCTGCTCGGCTGAGCAAAGAGACCAAGATGGAGCATACATGTGCAAAAGTGCAGTAATGTAAGAGGGGGCACTGCCCTGGAGGGCCGTATAAACGAGAGTTAAGATTTTAAATTTAGCTCGGTATTGCACCGGGAGCCAGTGCAGAGCAGTCAGCACTGGGGTAATGTGCTCTCGACATCTAGTACCTGTCAGGAACCTAGCCACAGAGTTCTGTACAAATTGGAGCTGTGCAACCGTGCACTGGGCCAGACCGGTGTCGGTACAAGATCTGCTCGGGTGCAAGATCGGCTCGGGTCCGTCGACTGCCGATGACGTCTAAGTAGTTGATTGGCTGAACATGAACCTTACGGAATTACGTAATCACGTAACGTTGTTATCAAGTGACGTTGGTCCAGGCAAATTTTTTCTATTGGAAAGATGGACAACTTTTACAAAGAAATCCATCATTACCTCTTTGAAAATACACTTTTAGCATAGAGCTGCAAGTATATTAGGGCTGAACGATTAACTGCGTGTGCAATTAAATTGCGATGTGACAAAAGGAGATTTTCTAATGGCAAAGGCTGCAATTTGGCAGCGAGTGGTTAGCGCAATGCTAATATACATGGAAAAACCCATAGGAATGCTAATGCTAATATCGCCGATTACATTATTACAAATTATGAATTAGAAACGTGCCAAATGATTACATTTGGAGTCTAATGGAAAGTAAAACTACCATCAATCAAATAAGTACAGACAGGTATTTTAGTAAAGCCAGAAAACTTTTAACTCCAGAGCTTTGGCTAGCAGCTATGAGCGTAACTGAACTACGCATGGACAAGACGTCAAAAACTCAACACAAATACTTCAATAAACGGGACACACTTCTTTCCTGCAAATACAATTTCACAGGTGTTGCTAATACCATATGATCCTTCAAGGGATGTGCTCAAAGAGGAGTTCAACATGAATCAAACATAGTGTTTTATTTTACAAATACTATTATAAACACAAACTTACGTCTTAAGAAACATTATTTTAATAACGAACTGCTAAATTCTTTCCAACAGTATAGATGTGTAGTGTTTTTTGTCCGAGTGGGTTTGCCGTACTTTGACGTCATCGGCAGTCGAAGGACCCCGAGCCGATCTTGCACCCGAGCAGATCCTGTACCGACACCGGCATACAGAGCGTTACAGTAGTCCAGACGGGACAGGACGAAAGCATGCAACACAGACTCCAGATGAGCTCTGGACAGCAGAGGCCTGATCCTGGATAGTCGTTTCAGGTAAAAAAAAACTGGACCTCACCACTGTATTTACGTGAGTGTCAAGATTAAGTGAGGAGTCCATTTTTATCCCCAAATTACTGAATATTTTCTTTTCATAGGGGGTCAATGGGCCAAGGTCAATATCAGCACCTGAGCCATTTCTTCTGCCAGGACTAAGTATTATGACTTCCGTTTTGCTCTCATTTAGGTGCAAAAAATTAGAAGCCATCCAACATTTTATGCCCTTCAAACAGTCCAATAAAGGAGAAACAGATCTATCCTCCCCACGTTGAAGGGGGAGATAGATCTGGCTGTCATCAGCAAAAAAAATGAAATTTCACATTATGCTGACGAAGGAGGACTCCAAGAGGCTTTGCAACATAAAACCATAAATTTGGGTCTAAAATACATGGGAGCGGGTCTACGTCTTTGGGCGACACCATGTTTTCTTCTACGGGAGCCCGCGAGGACTAAATCCATTTACTGGTTTGTAACAGGTGGTTACAAAACTTTTGTCATTCTTAAACGTTTTAACACATTTACCTCTTCACTTGTTGGCAGTGATGAAAGGGAGTCTGATGTGTGTCATTTAGCACGCTGCCGTTCAAGCCGCATTAACATCAATAATTGTATTTTTTTTTAAATCTCCCCAGTGCATGTTTTCATTAAGGGACCTGCTACAGGCAGTTCTTACCCAGAGGATCTTTGTTATTCTTTTTCCGCTGACGTTAATGCGGCCCGAACGGCAAGGTGCACCCCCACACATGTTACATGCAAACGACCGGCTCGGCTGTGGGAAAAGAGGTAAGTTGGGATTTTGGGGTGATCACCCCAACGTCACCACAATATCATGATTTTGGCCCTCCATAACTCATGGCCACGATCTTGTGCCAGCAGGCAGTCCCGTTCAAAATTTCTTCCAAAATTTTCTAGTTTATTACTCTGACCTTTTTTTTGTTTTATATAAAACATTACATAGAACATTTAATAATAACCTTAGTAATAATTAGGGATGCTCAGATTTTATCATTTGGCGTTCAAAGCATCTGGAATCAGGAAGTTCAGCTATAACCCTATAAAACAACCAACATGACTTTTGAAATTCTTAAGATTTTCTAACAGAATAACGGCACAGTTTTCAATTGAACAAGTTCTTGCATTAATATTCTTTGTTGGACGAAAACAACATGTAGTTAGCTAGCAGTGGCAGGGTTTTTCCTGGCTCAAACTGAGGCAGAGGTGGTACCATCCTGACCATGCACATGCATACTCTGTACATTCAACTGCCTCACTTTTTTAAAGGCAAAATATGTTATCGTTAAGTGTTCTAATCTAAGCTTCTGTTGATTAATTGAATATTACATTTGACGTTTAAAGTGAAACAAAACTGGTTTGTGAAGCGTGTGTGAATGGATGAATGATACACAGTGGTGTAAAGCGCTTTGGAGTTCTTACTCTGAAAGGCGCTATACAAGTGCGGGTCATTTATCATTTATTTATCATTTGCTGCTAAAAAATATGAAATAAAACAACAGACTGAAATAACAGACTCTTATTATGAAAGGCTCAATAATATGCATTAGATTGGTGTTTAATTCCTTTTTCCATCTGATATTTATAGTTAAAATATTTTTAAATATTTGATCCACATTTCAGTAACATTTTAGGTTTGTATTAATAACACTCACCTTAGTCAAAAAACACATTAATATATGCAGTAAAATATAATGCATTTCATTAACATGCATTTGTATTGGAAATGATAATAACATTTAATTTCTGCTGCTAACAATGTAATGGTGGCATGTCTATAATGTACGGGTTGGCAATAATCTAGTTTGAATTATGTTCAAAGATAGAAGCGTGTGTGAATTATATACTACAATGCCTTGCTGTACATCCTGCTCTTGTGT